CTGGTCTTGCCTATTCAACCCCATTATTCAAGGAAACCCGACAATACCGCGACATATCGGTATGCCAGCCAGCAAACAAACCATCTAACTCTGTCCTAGGTCCTTCCCAAAATGTTTACATAGTTTTGTATCTGTCTGAAATATATTTCGCTTATCTGCAGCCATACAGAGTGATAAGTATTATAAGCACCATTGCCTCTACCCGGGAGAGGCATTTAACTCATAACAATTCACTTGTTCTGTCATTTGTCAGTGACCTACGTTGACCTCTGGTGTTCTATCTCATGCGAATCTTCACATGGATAGAGCCGCCACAGGAACGTACCATTTTGCATACGTGTGGGTGTGTGGGTCAAAATTGCATCACCCGATACTAAACTATTGCAAGCTGTCTGAATTATCAGGTAGAACTGCATCTTACTGTTAAAGACGCTTCTTCAAAAGGTTCGTGTCTTTGATGTCAAGGACAAGGATTAGGGAAGATTTTTTGTAAAGAAGGAATACTGGTCCCACCCACGGTTGGAATGTTTTGGTAGGACTACCTTATAGGTGGTGCAGAACAGTGTGAAAGTATGTAAATTAGAGCCAGTGCAGGGGTGTGGTTCGTGACAGAGACTCACCTCAGTTAATTGCTGTCAGTGGTGTCATCAGGACTGTTCGGTGTACATTCATGAAGACGCCATTGTGCAATAGACAAGGTAGGTTGCCAGGGTGTCTTGACTCTTCCTCCAAACATCTGGTACGTGTAGAAAATCTTGTCAGACAACTGTACAGCCTGACACCTTTGTCTGTGCTGTGGTTGAGTTGTTATCAGTCTGTGATCAGTCTATAGGTATGTACAGGTAAAAAAATGTTGGTGTTTGTAATGTCTAACATTGCTGTCTATTTAATTTAGATTACACAGTTTGTCTGTCATTGTCTGTTACTGTCTTTAGTGTACATTAGAACCAATTAGGCTTGTCTTTTGAGAGGTGTCTTCTGTGTCTGTCTAAGGTGTTATCATCAGGAGATATCTGATCATGATAGGGAAGTCATGGCTCCAGGTACATGCATGGTCATGCATGCAGTATGCACTTTGGCATGCATAGCGACATTTTCAAATTATTGTGATCATAAAGTGTATAATAGAGCTATGACTTGTTTATAGTCTTCAAGTTATCTTTGCTAGCAGGTTTTGTTTTATCTTTACTTTTAATGATTTTATTTTGTTCATAATTGGGTCTTAGCTTTGAGCTGTTTTTATAACGTACCATCAAAAATTACAGTGGATAAAAATTTTTCACTGTAAAGATGACGTATGTAATTACATGTATAAGGTCAAGTATAGTGTCTTTTTTTATCTTGAGATCCTGGTACAGTGTATACAAATGTAGAAAAGATTTGTTTGGTGATCAATATGAAAAGTCAAAATACTCCTGTGTGTATACACGTATACACAAAATGTACAATAATATATGCATGAAGTTGACATAATGGCAATGAAGTAATTGATCGCTATTATCGACTGAATTCTAAATGAGCTGTCATTATGGCTTATGTGACGAACATAAGTGTGATGGGTCCGTTATAGAAAATCAATAACTTGCAGGAATTTACAGTAGACTTTTTTTCATTTCTTTCTATTTACAAGTGTCAAATATCAAACGCTAAATAAATATCTTTGAAGTATAACTAAATGGAAATTACAAACTGAATAGAAGTTATGATTAGAGATTCAAAGTGAAGAAAAAATAATCTAGAACTGTTCTATTTGAATATGAAATGGACTCCAATTCCAGGGCTTGTTGATTTATTTTTTGCCTCTTGGGTGGCTAAAATGTCTGGAAATCCGGGACCTTTGTTAGCATTAGACTGCTATGCACCAGTTCCATAGCAAGTGACCTGTCACAAAATGTCTCTCAGTTGTGTACTTTGCCTCATTCTCTGTATTTGTACAGAGCCCCACTGATATTTTTCTTTCCAGTACTGTTCTTTTGTCCCTCTTTCTTTCATACGTTATTCTCTTTTTAATACCGGTATGAGCTCTTTTCTTTTGTTTCTCTTGTTGTCAAATACCTAAGTAATACTATGTATTCAACCTCCTGGGCGATATGTTTCTCTGGTTAATAAACAATAAACAAACAAACAAACAAACAAGTATTTCAGCAGTTCACTTGAGATTTCAATTCTGTTTTGATACTCATAACAAGTGAGACATATACCTTTAGGAAATTATACTTGTAACAATTAGGATATAAGTTCTTGACTCTACGTCATGCCTGGGTTTTATAGTTTTGCATTATCATATGTGATAACATTACTAGTAACTTTAGTCTTCTTAACATCTTTTGAAAAGTCAATGTTGAACCATAATGGGATACAGTACATAATACTAGTACAATGTATTTTTTAGTACATATCTTATGCTTTGAATACGTATAGACCTATACATACATAAGATATGTGACTTAACTGAGAGCATAGCAAGAGCAAGGCAGAAATATTTGAAACTTGCATGCAGCTTTTTAGTTCTACCAGAAAATGGTGACAGTCTGTTTCCGTATTGATTCCAGTGCTACAGACTGTAGTATACACACTGCCCCTCCTCTATCTACCCATGGGAAGTGTTTTTAGGCTGTGCAAATTTGATTTCATGGCTGACATCCTCTGCAGACCACAATTTAGATGCCAGGGTGTGAAAAAAATAAACACTGGTGTAAGGAAATATTCCAGATAACAAGATAACTAATGCTTGAACAAAGACCAAGCAGATTAAACAAGATTTTCTGGAGCAAGAATGATGTAGAATATTGTGGGAAGAATGAGAATGTTGATTCTATTAGTTAGCTGTAGCTACTGGTCTTTAGTAAGGAGGCAGGCCCTCATAGTTGGTGCAACAGTTTGTTTACTTTGTAACTCAGGCATGACTAGAATGTTCTCTGGAGGCTTAGCCTGGGAGATGAGGTAAGAAGAGGGAAGTATCTTGTCTTGTCCTGCTTGGTAGGATTCTAGGAAGACTTATGCATTCTTTTTCTTTAAATTTTAATTGCTATTTTTGTTAGGGCTACTTATATCATTGTACGCAAATATTTTTGTTATGTCATTTTCAAAATGTGCTGTGAAAACAATGATAATTATCAACTTGTAAACAGGGTCTCTTAGCTTGCAGGTATGGAATTTAGTTGGTCTAAACTTAGACGAAAGTAGGGCATTCTAAGTATATATAACTTAAGTAGTTGCTTTATCTTTGGGTAGTTATGCTGTCCTAGCTCTCACAGCCCTTTTCAGGTTTTAGATTTATGGCAATCTGTATATTATATATATCTATCTACAGTGTTTTCAAGTTCAATGTTGACAGATTTGATGGTCAAATTGTAAAATTTCAGAAACATCCAAACCCAAGGCATATAGACATACCCATTTCTGCATAAATAACATAATAACATGCAAAGAAAGAAAATTGTGGGAGATTTTGCATGGTAAAAATGTATTTGTGTGTTTGTTGTCTTTTTTACATGTAATTAGACAAAAAGACAGATATTCAATGCAAGGGAACTGTGCCATGTATATGTGCATCAGTAGAAATAATTGTGCAGGGAAAGTATACAAAGAACGTGAAGAAATTGTTGTTAGGAAGTTTTAAAGCACTTTGTGTAGTAGTTGACTACGATGTGGTATATCATTCCTACATGTATGTTCCTATTCTCATTTAGAATACAAAGACTTCTCTGTCTGACAGATTTGTACAGGTGTATCTTGGCCACTTGTAAACATTGCTATGACCACTGCTCTTTCCCCTAATATTGTCATGGGCTGTCCAGTTGAACAAGTTAGCCATTCATGGCTGACAAACCAACTACAGTACTCAGCCAAGTACAAACAAGACAGGAAAGCTTGATATTTGACTTTGTCACAGGTAGAACAAGGAGTCAAGGACATAACAATGGTTCAAGGTCGCTGGTGTTATCTTAGTGCATGTAGTTATGAGTATCACTGTCATTCTAGCCACTAGACTTAAAATGCACTTGTGTGTACCTTTTAAAATGATACTCAACCTCAACTTTACATCTACACTATAATTTTGTTGCTCTATGAGCCTTGAATGCCTCTGTACATGAACATTGTTTTTTTTAAATGACTGAACACAGTGTTTAACCATGTGTGTACTAGTACAAGTTAAAAAATTGTATTAGTCATAGATATACATTTGCATATATGGTACATTGAACAGTATTTCAAATTGAAGGTTGTCAAATAGGCAGTGGTAATATGTCATAATGTTTTTGAATCCCTGTCTTTCTGCCTCCATTTCTCTTTGTAATATATCCAGATTGTACCGGTACAATGTACTTGAATTTGAAAGTATCACATGTTATCTTCATTGTTTGCTACATACAGTATGACCCCACAGCCCTGTCAACTATCTACTTTTCCTCAAGCCCTGAATCCAAATTTACATCACACTTTTCAAGGACAAAAGTTACATGGCCACCAGTCACAAGGCTATATCCTTTATCCACACATAAAATAGGACAATAGCCTGGTCACCAAACCTACTTCAGCTCCCAGAGAGGGCGTAGGACTCGGGCACTATAATAGGTTTGGTAACCAGGCTAATAGGACAAGGCAGTGATCAAACTGACATTTAGCCCATGTCATATGACACGAAGAATTGATGTTACGGTGCAGATAACTTTTATCTTGAGTTATACTGGTATTTGTCTGTTGGCCTTGGGATATTTTGAAAAGGAGTTCTCGAGCCTTCTATACAGAGGCCTAATAGCAACAATAGTCGTAACAGACTTAATTGAAGCTGCTTAATTAAGGCGTAGATCATTTGAAATCATTTGAATCCCAAAGACATTGAAAAACTTATATTCAAACAGGAAAAGGCTGGCATGATGCGTTTGGATCAGTTTGGATGATTTAATATATAATGCTTTAGACTAAACAGTGTTGTGCCATAGTAATGAATATAGCCTGTTGTTATTGACTCTCTTGTTGTTTATTTTCCTCCATAGGAAGAGAGCCCGAGCGCCGCCCCCACCCCCGGCCAGGAAACCCCACGCGAAAATGAACGGCAACATGAACGGGAACGTGAACGGAAACGTCCGCCCCAGCGTGAACGGCCTGGCCCCCGGGAAAGAGAACAGTCACGTGACTAATGAAAACGTGGACCCGGTACAGGACCTGGATGGGTTTGTTGACCTGGATGTGATTCTACCTGGAGGAGAGATCAAGACAACAAAGTTTATGGCAAGGTAACATCTTCAAGTTTATTCTTACTTCACTTTGTATAAAGGAATTTTGTATCTTAGAGTCTTGACTTACGTCTTGACAAATTACAGAATTCTGATTGAAAAGTGTTGTATAAGACTTACATTATTTGGGGGACTGTCTGTCAGCTTCTTCATTGTAACAATGACTGGTTCTGATTCGTACTGCAGCTAGATGTCACTGCTGCAGTTTTAAACTGTATACAGTCTGTTGACAGCCTAATGAAATTATTCACAAATAATTAAAAAGGGGTTTAAGTTGGTGGGAAAACAGGTAGAGCAAATGAGCATTGCTAAAAAAACTTTCAGAAGCATATCAGACTATCTAACACTAAACATTTGTTAGAAGTGTGTATGGGTACAGAAAGTTTGAAAATTACAACTTCTTTCACTGATGAACCATCCTAAAGCTAACAAGTGAAGTAGACACAGTGGAAGGAAACGAAGAAACTGCAGAATACAGTGCATCATGAAACAGTACTAAGAAGAAACTGACAATATTTCTAACTTTAACCGGCATGGCCGTCCAAAAAAGAGATGGGTAGACAGTATTGGGGAAGATGTCAAGAGCTTGAAACTGCAGAAGGCCAACCCACTAGACAGATGCAGCTGGAGAGCAGCTATTAGACCTAAACGACATCCTACGACGTCCAACCCTTGCATGACGGGGAACAACGGACGCTAAGCCGTGCAGTGAGTGAGTGAGTGAGTGAGTTAACTGACTGCATTTATCGCCCCCCCCTTCCCCTTGCAGCACACATATGATGGACCTGTTGGTTCAGATCTGTGCCAAGTACAAGCGTCAGTACCCCGGCCTCAGCCCCTCCTCTCACACCATGGTCATCCCGCCCACCGAGGACGGCGAAATCATCTCGTACATGCCCAGCACTCCCATTGGCCGTCTTCCCGATGTCACGCAAGTCGTGGTCAGGCCGAAGAACGAGGTGGTCAGCGAGGATCGTGATAGGTGGAAACCCGTACAACCGAAAGTGCCGAGTGCACCTGAGGTGAGCGATGCATGTTGTTTTTCTGTTAAGACCCTGTCACACATTCAGAACCTTCCCATAACTTTGCTCTCAACCACTCCCCAACCAAAGTTAGAGCTAGGTTGGGATCCTGGATTTTAGTTAAATTCGTAGTTGACTGGCACAGCCAACCAAGTTCCAACCACCGATGATCTTGCTCGCAACTTATTACTCCCTATCATGATCTGGAGAAGGTTGGGAGGCCATGGCTGGCTATGTGTGACAGGTATTACAGTCAGTAGTGGACAAAGAAGAGATATATAGTGGGGAGGTGAAGTTTTTTCACATGTTGAAATGACATTCCAAGTATTCAGCATAAGAAAACAGCAGAACTTGTAATATATTTCTTCTCATGTATTTTTTCCCAAATGTCCAGTTCCCTTACAAACAGCCACAATAACATTCAAACAGGTTTGGAAAAGGTCAAACATATTGCAATAGCAGACATGATATGTTTACATAACACAGGTAGAATGGTAGTTCATAAAGAATGTGTTGTTTTTCTTTGTAGCCGAAGGTCACAAAAATTGATTTTTGTGTTTTGGTTTTCATCTGCATATGAAAGGAAGGAAAACATTGATATATTATACCTCGTGACAACATAATATATCGTATTGTAGAGTGGAACTGGCTGTCATCAAGTACAGTGGGAGCATCCTCACTAGATAGTTTTAAACAATGTTTAGGTTTAGATGCTCAAAGGTATTCGGTGTAGTATAGGTGTAGTATAGGTAGCTGCCGCCGTGCCGCATGCCTGTTAAGCTGGTGTGTTACGCCGAGGGGCGGTTATACCGGCTATACAGATACAGATACAGATAAGCCTTTTAATAGGTTGAGACAAAATCAGTGTAGAAATTGTCCTTTTTGAGATATGCCAAGTTTGTAAATGTGCCTGTTAATATCAATGAGAGCATGCAGACTTGGACAAGATAGGGTGTATGTTATATACTGTATTTTGTCTTTCCAGAGAACGTTTCGATTGGTCGTGAACCTTCCGCAGAACCAGAAGACGTTTGTCCGCGTGAGTCGTAAGCTGACTGTGGCCGAGCTGTATCCGGTCATCTGTGAGAAGTGTAACATGGACCCCGCCCGCTTCGCGCTGCGCGAGGTGGACAAACCCGAGGTAGTTCTGGACACGAGCCGAACGTTAGAGGACTATAACATGGCTGAAGTACTGGTGGTGGACACCAGACCAGGTAAATAAGGAATGTGTGCATAATGGCTCAAGGCCTTACCAACACTGTATATCCGTAACTGGATTATCCCAGCACATCTGCAGAATGTACTGCACCTGCACAAAACCCCCATTTTTCCACTGTTTTCGTTGGATTTTTGGTCAACGTTGCATCAGAATTTTGCATGTTGCAGACAATATTTTTTTCCGATATAACATTTGAAAACTACAGGCGGAGTGTTAGCCTTATATGCGCAAATACGACCTTATATATATGAGATGTTCTGCCGAAGCACTATGCACAATATATTACGGGTTTCGCGCAGGTGTAGTACCTTTTGCCAACGTGCTGATTATCCCATATCACAAAAAGGCAAAAGCGTAATCTCCAATACTGTCGTTGATATGCTGCAGTTTCTAAAAGGTGACAGGAAAAGCTGACATCATTTGATCATGAAGAATATAACTGTTGAGGGCCATTTATGAATTCTCAATTATGATAACTTACTTCTTTGTGCATGGGTAAGAGGTAAAATTGCATGATTGTGTACTAGTCATTTATGTTACTTGTTGAAAGCATGCTCATTGCTACAGCACTGCTGTACACTATCTTCAAGTCTCATTCAAGAACCTGTCTCTATCTTCAAGAAGCTTCCACTCTGTCTTACTAGCTGTGCTCAGACCACTTGCCTTGGATGGCTGCCTCTCTACCTAGATGTATTATCATCATTGTATTCTCTCCAATCAAAATTTAGCTCAGAGTTAATTAGTTTTGCTGTTCAAAACTTTGGGAGTGCCAGTCATCCAAGGTTCCATGTGTAGTCAGAAAGAAAGCAGCTTCTTACAGTAAATACTTCTCTTTCTGTCTCCAAGACCTTCCTCTTCCCACCTTCTATGCTGTGGGGGGTGAGACAGACCACGAAGGTACTAACATCACTTCCCATCACTGTCCTTTCTGTTCTCCTTGTGTCCTATATGTAGAAGATGACAAGAATCAACTTCTCTTCTTTGGTCAGTAGCACTTGCATGCAAAAGACCATAACTGTATGGCAGCATGTGACTGTATTATCTTACATTTTATTGAATATTTCATGTTGTCAAACTTTGTTCAGCCACAGTTAAAACTTAGCCTGAGTGCCATCCTATTTGTACATGTATACTGGTGCTCCCATACTTTCTATTATTTTTAGGGAGTGAGTATGGGAGCCCTGGCATACAAATAAGATGGAACCCAGGCTATCTAGTGAAAACTCACGGTTATGGTCAGTTATAATCTTAATCTGACTTGCACAATGTCCATACATTTTAACAACTTTAGAATTTCTCCACTTTTTAACTAAAAAATATTAAATTCTACACATGAAAACAGCACTTGCACACTTACTAACTCCTCTCTTCCAGCTCTGACTGTCTTGCTTCTGTTCTGTAGTTGTTAGATCTTGTCACTCTAGCCTGGCGTCACCAGTAGAGTTAGACTTCTTACCCGACACACCGGAAAACAAGAGAAGGGTCTGGTGCCCTTGGCTGCCCAGACGGAGGAAAAAGGGCAGCTTTTCAAGTGGTACTGATTCCCACATAGCTGTTCCCGTGTCGTGGGGCCTGCATGCGATGTTCCTTTGTGTTCAGATCCAAAATATGAAATCTGTTGTAAAATACCCTCAACATAACCTGGAATCCAGACGGTTAGTGTGGTCATTTGGTGAACTTGTCAGTCACTTCAAACTTTCCTGACGAAAGTCCCTTCCCAGTAGATATGCCTACCAGTTGAAATGATCACATGGCTACAGGGTTTGTGGGTCGGAGTAGACCGACTTTAAACCACACTGTACTGCGATCCAGTGTTTTCTCTACCCTATGCTTCATATTTTTTACTAAGTTCTTCCTTTCTAGCCTGAACCACTTTGAGCTTCTTTGAGGAATATTGAAGTTTATTACATGTGCATGTAGTAAAGTTGTAAGTCCTACAGTCTATTAAAAATAGTGGTGTATTGTTAAAGTACTGTCCTTTCCTGTAGCAGGAGACCCAAGATTTCAGCCCTCACCGTACAAGTCTCCATCGAGACCCGTGTCTGCGTACGACGAGGTCGCCGCGTACAAACCCGCTCCGCTGGAGAAGTCACAGTCAATGACCTCTCTCGGCTTCAAGGACAAAGTGAAGAAGTCCCTCTTTAGCTTCGGTGCCTTCAAGAATAAGAGGAAGTTCAAGTTTGTAAGTATTCCTTTGAATATCATTTTATGCCATTGGTAGTATGTAGGATGAATAACCACGTTACATTTTTGCCACACAGGTAAGGTACATATATTGATGAAAAGGTGTATGTGAAATTATGATGTTTTACTACATGCTTTTTGATAACTGCAGCTCTATCGAGTCTTAGCTTGTTTTTGCTACTACATTGTTTTTTTAAGCCTTACGGTGGACTCTGCTTGACGCCATGCCTATAGCATTCTTGTCTCTGGCTTCTTGTAGCCTCATTAAATCGCTTTACGGTTGCCGGCCGCCCAACATCCGGCCAGTAAAGCCGCGGACGGCAGAGTTTACGTTATACAGACTAGGCTTCTTGCAGCAAGCTTTGAGTATTCTAGACATTTGAGTCCAAATTAGTAACAAGTAGTTGAACAAGTCAACTGCATATAATTAATTGCCTGGTGTCACCAGTATTTTGACTGTATATTAATCATGCAATCTCAGTCCTTGGCACACTGAAAATCAAGAGTTTGTAGTATCTTTGAGTTTGTGAAGCAAACAAAATTTTTAAAGACTAAAGCTATGATAAGCAGGTTGACAATGGCCATCAAATTTACCAGAGAAGCACAGGAAAATTCAAGAGAACATGATTCATCTCAGTTGATACAATGTACATGTATATCAAGAAAGACTTAAACATCTACCTGCTGCCTATATAACCCTATAACCACTGACGGTCAGACTATAAATTGGTGCCAATGGGCTACTTTAGCAAGGAGAAGGTTAACCAGAACTTAACAAAAAAAGCACTACACATGCTTATATTTAGGCAGTGGAAGAGGTTGCTACTACATGTACATGTACTGTATTTTGCACTTGCACACTGAATGCCTGTTTTGCACATTTGCACCATATCTAATTTGCATGTCGCACTGATTGCTTGCTTAAGGTCGCAGAACACAGTAATTATCCGCGACCCCCGGAGTCTATGACGCGGGTATAGAAAGTAGTGCAGACAAACCTCTCGCATCCTGTCTAAAGCGACTTATGTGAGAGGTAGCCATGAATGAACTGCACTGTGTGGTAAGGAAAGGTATCGGCTTGTACATAGTATGAGTTGGATTGTGAAGATTTCCCTGTTTGTGTATAAATGCGCGGCATTACGCAACCACGTTCCAGGGTGAGCCGGCTGCAGTTCCGTTGACCCCGATAGAGGGCCAAATCAAAGTGGTCGTCATTATGTTAAAAAACGATAACTTTTTTTGGTTTTCAGTTATTTTGTAGAATATACCGTATATTTCAACATATTAGTTGGCCGTGATTCAATAGTGCACCCTACTATAATTTTTACCGCGTTGAAGTGAGTCACCTCGAGGTGCTTAACTATAGGAATCCCCATAGGGCGAAAACTGTGTTCTGCTACCTTAATCCTATCATTGTAATTGCTAACTGCGTTTCCCTGCACCACTGAATCTTACATGTAGCTGTGCACCCTTACCTCTCTAACGCAGGGTGAAGATGGTGGTTCTTACACTGGGGAGGTGGAGTATAAGGTGATTATAAGAACCAATCAATGTGATCGTCAGATCTGGAAAACTTTGTGATGCGTATTCACCATTGATTTGCAGAGACTGCATTATACTGTACACAAAACCACAAAACAATACAAGCCTGCCATCATGGTACTGTAATGGACCAATCCTGACTGTCCATCACAATTAGCTGTTCAACCAATCAGAGCATGGGAATTAGCAGTTCGGCCAATGAAACAGTAGCTGCATGTCTGTCAAATATTTTCATTTTCCTGTCATTTCGATAGAGGTGGGTGGGATTTGGGCATCGGTCTATTCTAATTCTGATGTTCCAGTGAAGTATGTTTCCGTAAACTTTAAACTTTCTAGAAATAATTGTTGTTTCTGCATTTTATGGTGAATACACATCTGTGTGTATCTGTGTGATACATCTTGTATAAGATGGACTTTGTTAATTTTTGGTCCTATAAATTAGAATCCTGGTCTGTCCATTTCTAACCAGACTTTCAATGCATCTATGCCATATACACAATATGTATGAATCATGAGGTTTCCAAGGGACCAAAAATTTTACTAAGACCATCTTAAGTATGTGTTGTATGTCTGTGCTGATGTTAACTGTATTTTATAGGGATTTAAGAGTAGGAGGTCAACAGTTTCTGGAGAAATCCCGTATCAGGTGAACACCATGATTATATCAGGTGGCACCAAGTATTGGTTTCAGTATAGTCACTGGCATGGTATTAACTTGTACTAACTGGTCACCTACTATCTGTTACATTCATTGCCAGGTGAGGGAAGTTGTTAAAAAAACTCACATGCAAATAAGGTGGTGCAAAGTGGTCGAAAGAACTTCAAGGTTTGCAACTTAAAAATGGTGTCAAACTTGTATTATATGCCAATTTTTTTACTGTTCACAAAAACTTTTTGAACAGAATGTTCCAGAAACAATTATTCATGATTATACCAAGTTGGTGTCATGGTGCAAAGGGCTTTCAATATTGATTGTCACATAAATCGAATGCCTTCAAATCATAGACCAATGGTGTTAACGTGGTGTTCCTAAAATGTACCAACAAGGTACATCTTAAAGCGTAAGGTCTGTATATGGTGCTCTAGATGCTAACTGAATTCTGTACAAATGAAATAATTTCCAAAGTTTGTTCTTTCACAGCTCGGAGACTCAGCATCTCAGTCATCGTCACACCAGTACGCTCGTTCCACCAGTTTTCCCTCCACCCAGTCCCCCCCCTCCCCCACACGCAGCCTCCCGCAGACACCCCTCAGCGATCACCCCTCCACAAGTGCCCAGCCCCCTGTAGAGGTGGTGGAGAGGAGGAAGAAGAGACCCCCTCCCCCACCCCCTGGAGCGTCGAAGCCTGGTGCGGACTGGAGACATTCGTACGCGGGAGGAGACACCACGTTGGAGAGAAACAGGAGGAAGCCTGCGCCAAGGCCGCCCCAGACTGCAGCTATGGAGGCACCTTATCGTGCCGCAGAGGCCAGCCCAACCAGGGAAACTATCCACGGAGCAGACAGTCAGGCATCATCTCCTGGTGCAGAGGCCAGCATTGAGTTCAATTCAGGTAGAAGATTACTGGGAACATAGCTGTTAATTTCCTCTGTTATAAAATAAGTAATGAACTGTTACAGAATTTAACTTTTGTAGGTCAAGAGCTCATCTAGTATTTTTTTTTCTTTGCTGCTCTGTTTTTATTTCTGTCAACTTTCTTGAACACATTCTTTCCTCACATTTACTTTTAAGATCTTTCTTAGTCTGCCTGTAACAAAGTGCAATTTTGTTTGTTTGTTTTATTATAATCTCCATTAGTGTTACATAATTTTGCACTGGAAGTCTGGAATGGTGATAACAGCCTCCAGTTTAATTCCGGACTTCCAGTTTAATTCCGGACTGGCCTCCCATATCTCAGCCACCTTACACCCTGATGGGCTAAAATTGCAAACTATAGGTAAAAATGATGTAAGAAATACGTAGCCACCATCGATTGCCCCCTGGGGAATAATCTAAATTTGCAACATTATGCATAATTATGCATAATTATGCATAATTATGCATAAGGTTTTGAAGGTTATGCATAATTATGCATAATGGTCAAGGGTTATGCATAATTCTTCAAACAGTTATGCATAATTGTTCATAAGGCTTGCTAGGGTTATGCATAATTATGCATAACTGTTCTCAGGGTTATGCATAATTATGCATAATTATGCATAAGTGTTTTTAGGGTTATGCATAAATATGCATGATAGTTCTTAGTGCGTAATAATACACATGGGATTTTCCAAGTTACACCGTGGTTTTGCTGTCATATCATTGTTATGCTTGCAAAGTTAGATTGTGCCAGCCATGTTTGCAGCTGCAACAGCTCAAAGACCCTGTTTTCTCCTCATCCTCAGTCCCGTTACGTAGCAGGAAGCTTAAGCCGTCTGACCGTCCACAAAAGTCCCAATTTACATATGGGCAAAAACCTGACAGTATGGAAACTCTGTACATGCAGTACAAAAGTGCACGAAAACTGTACATCAACTTTTACCTAATAGTATGACATTGTGTAAATCTGACGACTACTCCAAGGAGCTTATAAAGAGACCCTCTCAACGGTTTCGCCCCTTAAGGTACAAAATGTAAGTGGTGGGGGTATAACTGAATTTTGACGGCAACTGATGACCATGTCACCTGGTCCTTATTTGCATTCGCCTTCATTCAAAAATATGAATTTGCCCATGAGTCAACACTGTCCAGTGAGACTTAAATAGTTTGCATTTGTCCTGGTATCTGTATCTGTATAGCCGGTATAACCGCCTTTTGGCGTAACACACCAGTTGTCTCTAACATGTGGTAAAGATGCCATCAGGAATATTTCACAGGTGTGACATTGGGCGGGATCCCAGAGTCTAGGTTGTTAATCGCTATGATGAAGGGTGTTGCCTGTTGGTAACAGAATTCCCCCCTGAGGTGTGCCTGCAAGAATGGCTTTAGCTGCAGAGATGCTCATTCCCCAATTCTCGCATTGAACACAATATTTTTGCTCAGGTAACTGTTCAGACGCCGCCATAAGTCGTGTCTTATCCCTACGCATGACAAACTGTGGAGGAGACCGCCATGGCCTATTGTATTAAAGGCACACGTGAGGTCCACAAATGTAACCTGCACGTCCATTTTGGGAGAACTTTTAATTGATTTAGATTTTTGACAATAATCCAACATGCCCAGTTTTTGTATGCTCACTTGAGCACACAGTTTTCGTATCAGGTTTTTGCCCATGTGTTACAGTAAGATCAGGTCTTTGTTGTACAACCAACAAACATGGAGAGACTTTTATGGTTGTCTCTAACATGTGAGTACCACCATTCATGAAGACTGTAATCACTCGCAAACCTATGTCGTACAGTGGAAACACACTAGAATGTGTTTCCCCTATGTTTCCATTGTTGGACAGAAGGAAACACACAGGAAACATATAGATAATCCATTACCAACTTCTCCGCCCATGGAAACACAAGGAGCTGTCACAGGATTCTGACTGGAGCAGAAAATCAGGCATAGCCAGTGACCAGTGTTAATTACTTCCCTGCAACATTTGACAGCTTGACCTCCAAAGGCCCCTAAGCTGCCCTGACTGACCTAAAACTGTCTACAGTCTGAGGTACCGGTTGTTCGTTCCCCTTTTACACCTGTTATATTTTCAGAAATTGTGTTGCAATATCAGACAGACTCCAGCCCCTCGCCTACATATATACAAAATGAAACAATGTCTTCATTGTTCCAAATTTTTGCCTGTAGTTATATATATATATATACAAGGAGTACAAGGGGCAGAATTTCTATCCATCATTCATAAATCAAGTACATTTGTAACTGTGTTCTATCACCAGTGTTTCTAAACCTGTATCTGGATGGGTATGCATTGCCTTGAAAGAGAATTGGTCCTTCTAGTTCCTTAGAACACACAGTAAGGGACAAAAATGATAGTCTGTATCATGTGACTTGTGTGACCACATGGTAAGGTGGTCTGTCATGGCACCACTATACATTCCTTCACTGTTCTGTCTATGCCTTGGCAGTGCATGGATAATTGATTTTTCACCCATAACAAGCCCCAGGGATAAGGCAGGAGCCTGCTGTCCTTCAGCTTTGCAGGGCTCTGCTCCTGGAAGTGATTAATTACCAGGACACACAGAGGAAACACACTGGAAACACAGTCTCTAATTGGCGAGAAGGAAACACACTGGAAACACTTCCACTATACCTCCTCTAAAACAAACATTAGGGACCCTCTGAAGAGGGAAAAAGGAGAGGACACACAGAGGAAACTTACCCTCTTCTGTCCAGAGTGTTTCCCCTGTGTTTCCCTTGTATTTCGACTATGTGACAGAGGTTTGAAAGGGAATTTTATGTTAACCTAACACAGTTGAAAAAGCCTTCGATAACTTTGACTTTATTGCAACTTGCATGGCAGTCTTGTACCAAGTTTAGCTTGTGCAGTTAGAACCCAATAGGAACAATAGTCATCTACATGTATGGTATGAAACACCAGTTCCATCAGAGCTCTGTATGTAAGGGTTCAGAAATTATACCTTACATGTACACACATGTAGAAGCTATTGATAAGGGAAAAAAATTTCTCCATAGTCATATCTCCACATTCTGCTAAATGCTAAATGCCAAACTCTGCCAATAATCCCACCTTTTCACAGAGGGCCAGGCCTTCCTGTACTTGAAGTTGAATGGAGAAGTGTGTTTCCTGATAGGCAGCAGCTAAGCAGCATGAAAAACCAGAAGCTGTTTCATGTATTTACTTAAGGATTAATTGGTAACAGGGCATGACAGATTGATTTGTATCAAAGCCTCCCATGCAGGCTCTGCCCTCTGGCTGAGATAGAACTCTGAAGAACACCTTGGGTTGTCAATGAAAATAGCAGAGTGACTCAGAAGTCTCCACATTCTTCTAATGCTAATACAGTAAAAGCTCTGCCATATCCCGCATTTTGTGTTAAGCACACAGGGCCTTCCCTACATGTACCTGTACTTGTATGGAGAAGTGTGTTTCCCCTTCAAATGACTAGGCCCGCCTCGGGATGGTTCACAGCTCAAATAGCTTATTTCTGAGACATGCTTTTTTTTGTCATTGCTTGGTTATGACCACTTGCTATCCTTGGTAACAATCAGTGTAGTAATGTTACATGTAATGTATGTCATAACACTGGTCAGATGTGGAGGCTACAATTTCACCAACCCTTCCTTTCAAATCTGATTTGCCATATCATAGAGCGTGTTAGTCTAGTATCCATATCTATTATAGCTGGAAGTCTCATGGCTGTGAAATGGCTATCCTCTTAAACAAACAGTGCTCCCTGGGGGCTGGATCTCTGAGCCAGCATTTTATTTCCAAAACCTTTGACTGGAATGTTGCTTGTACTGTAGCATTATGTTACTAATTATAAGGCGAGGCTCTAATATCCAACAATGATATAACACACTGCAACATTTAGTTGCAGATTAAAGTTCCTGTACTGTGTACAACAGAACACTATTTCCTTCCCAGAGTTTAAGTGCTAACTGAGGGGGGGGCTGTCGTGTAATTTCCTTGGGGGCATGTTGTTCTGAACAGGAAATGTAGAAAGACAAACGTGGAAAGACATACAAGTAATAAAAAAAAAACCTGACTGTTTTGAAGTTGTTTTTTAAGTGAACACATTCTCAATATACTCGTCTGGTATTCCTAGAACCCCCTTTTGTACAAAATTTGGCATAGCCATCAAATCTTCCAGCTTGCTCTAGTGTGCAGGAAACACTCTCCAGTATAATTTGGGACTGACCTCCCATCTCTGCAATTTTAAACCCAACTTGCCTTATAATGTAGGTCCTATAATAAGTTAAAGGAGGCCCGTAAGCCCTTTTCCGTAGAGCGTAATTGTCCGTTTTACTCCTACGTATAGCGTATTCGCCGTTTTAGTTCTACGTAATGCGTTGTAGCCATTTGGAAGTTATCGTAAAGCGTAATCGAGGGTTTCCGAATTCAGCGTAGAGCGTTGTCCGGACCCCCCCCCTCCCCTTGCCAGGCCCCTCTTTAAAGGGTGAACTATAGTTGTACTCTTCCCAGTTCCCTGTACCAGAACAGATTGCCTGACATTGAGAACATGGAGACTCAATGACATATGATATGGCACCTTTCTTTTCTGTGACCTCAGCCTAACCCCAGCCATGCCAGCCCTGAGTGAGTGTGCTGAGACATCCCACTGGGACTGAACACCAGTGAGGTCTTTGTTGTTCCAAGGATAGTCTGACCTTTTGGTTATCCCAGTGAACCAGCTTTCGTGTAGCCTGGGTGCCAAACCGATAGCATACTGGACATAGTATAGCCTGTTTGCCAGACCCATAGCACACTGGACACAAAGTATCTCAATGAGGTACTTTATTTGTGTCCAGTGTGCTATGGGTTTGGCACCCAGGCTAGACAAAGTATCTCAGTGAGCATGGTTCGTGAAGTCACACCTCATCAGTTTGTTTCATACTAATAGAAATTGCAGAGGAAACTGAAATTCTGAGTTATTGAATTGCATCTTGAAGAATTTCTATTCATCACTTTATGACAACATTGATGTCAAAATGTATATCAATCCCAGCCTCTGTCTAATTTTCTGTGAATCTGCTGAAATAAACTTACTGTAAAGAATAGTGACAGCACCAAAAGCTGGCCTGGATGTCAGACACACAGCACATTAGGCTGAAAGTTATCCTGTGTGCACAGGCTGAGGCTACCCAACATGCAGCAGACTGACTTCAATTCTAATAGTAATAATCTCATCAAAGGAAAGCAATTTTTCCTGTGGCCTTTCATTTCTTTTATCCAGGCCTCCCACACTTTGGAAACTTCTAGAAATGAGTTAGAGGGAGGCCAATTTTCTAGGCCAACAAATGCTTGAAAAGTTACTTTTTTTAGACACTGGATACAGGCATCTCACCCAGCTAGAAAACATCACAATTTTGTAGCCTAACATCTGCTTGGAGAATTCACTGAACACACTGGAAGGCAAGCACAACTGGCTCACTGAGATATATTGTGTCCAGTGTGCTATGGGTTTGGCACCCAGGCTAGGGAACCACACCGTCTAAAGAGGAACTCTAGAGTGACTATGTTGGGCAGTCAGTAATATTGACCTGGTGGTTAGGATCAGTGAAAAGAGGGGCTTTCTTTATTCTAGTATCGGCTGTCTGACACCACCACCAATGTCTAATGTCAATGTCAATGATATGTATATACATATGTTGATGAGGGTTTATAGAAATTACTTGCAGTGGCCTAAATAAGGAGGTTAAAGATGAACCTTCTAATGTTAACCTCCTTGTTCAAATGATCCATGTGAAGTTACCCACAAAGTTGAAATTGTTGGTGGAATTTGAATGACTCACAAGGTGACTAAAGAAGTTAGTGTTACAGACACTGCCTGGGCAGCTCTGACACACAGGCCAGCCTAGGGATGTGTAAGGAGATAGGGGTGACCTGTGGTGACCTAGTTTCTCTCCACACATGGATGTCCAGTGGGGAAACTCCTGGCCAATCATTGACTTGAGTGTTAATTTGGTGTGACGACCTCTACTGCTAGAAGTCAGAGGAAGAGGATTACACTTGTGTTACCCTAGCTGCCAGGGTGGAGTGCTTCAGTAAACAAGCAAGGGAGGAATCCAGCATATTACTGCCTTATTCCTGAGGAACCAAATCTGCCTTACAGTTACATAAAAATTATACATGTAGTTATCTTACATGTGCCTGGCCAGTATGTGTGTGCATTACAAAATGTACAATTGCCCCTTGTTGGACATGGGGCAGAAGAGCTGACCTACGTTTGTACATGTACAGGTACATACTGTAACAGCTGTAACTTTTCGAGCACTCGGGACCAAGGAAAAGTGGTCTTCTTATACAAAAAGTATGGCAAGGACGAGGAGATATGTGAAAGCCAAGAAAACCTCAGCAAAATTCCCACCCAGTTTACAATACTCTACTCTACTCTAGACTGCTGACCCAAAGTGACCCAGCTGGTACCTGATTTTGTATTGCACAAAGATGGCCATGCTGTCTAATCAATGGCAAACTGGCCGCTTCCATCAAGACTTCTTGCTAGCTATCATCAAAAAACGTTTTCTGCCACATTTGAAAATGGCATGGTCGTCATATGCAGAGGTTGAGCCATGATGTGCATCCTCAAATATAGTGCCAGTCGTGGTGGCATTGGACAAGTGGTTGTCTTACAACATACATGTATGCCGTAAAATTTGGGAATGAGAAAAAGCTGTCATTATGACCAGATGGCCCAGAAGACAGAGAACAGGTCCACGGTTGCCAAGGTGAGAGACAGTCACCGAAATGTTGAATAAAAGACTTGTGTAAAGAGAGTCTCTCTCTACTCAGTGACTTACTAACCTGATGAAACTATTCACGGAGAGGTGGTCACTTTTACAAGTTTGACTGTATACTAGACAATGTGTTTAAAATACTGGAAACAGTCTGACATCAAGACTATGCTTTAAGAAGGACATTACAAAATGTATATCCTTGGTAAATTATGAAAATATTACTTACAAGTTTAGTTTTCAATACTATAACCCATCCACTAGTGATTTTTTAAGTTTCAAAAGTTCTGCAATTTTTCGTAACCTTTTTAGTAGACCAACAAAATGCCTACTACTGGTTAGCATGCTAGGGTTGGCTTGTAACATGATCTCCAAGAAGCAACTGTGGTAGAAAATTGTGGGCTTGCTTGTCATGGCCTCATCTGCCCTAGATAAGGAGGTATCAGGAGACCTCCTAAGAATAAATAGAGGTGGTCCCCAAACAGCATGTGTCTGGCTTCTGGTGTTGCTAAATGATTTATCCCCTGACCAGAGGGCCTACATTTGTACCAGAGTCCACCCAACTGCACTGTGAGTGTGAGGGTCTCCCAAGGATTAGCTGGCTAATCCAGCGTGTAATTAAGACATGTGAAGCCTTTCTTGAGGCATATACAATGCACATGAAATTTTCACTTCTTCCAGTTGAATAAAATAGAATCTACTCTCTGACAACTATTGGAAACTTTGTACCAAACTACCAGAATCAATGTAATTCAAAAATGACTACCATGTTGGATGATGGTAAACGCTTTCAGCACTGCACAGGGGGAAGGGAAGATTGTCCTTCATAACATGGAGAGCATGAATGGGCACTACAAAAAGGCTGCAGGAAAATTGTTCCCTGTGCCACTTCATACCTGTAGGATAACTCTTGTCAGAATCAATATGCAAAGTGAGCCAATTTTAGTAGCATTGTGCTCAGTAAAAAGTTTCAAACCTCCTCCCAGATCTAGAGGTATAAATTGAAGGGGATTCATTCCTCAAGCTAACCAACATCTTGCACACACAGTACAGTCGTCCCTCAGTAAGACATCTGCAGCCGCATAGTTTGTTCCCGTTTAGAAACTTCTCGTAACATGACTGTAAGGGTAAACTTCTATGCAGCAGAGAAAAACCCAATGCTCCATTATAAAAATTTGACTATACAATATGTATATGCTGCTCAGCTGTGTGGGCAAACACTACATCCTTGTTGCTAACACTTAGATTTGCAGTTAAATTGCCTTTTTTGTGTGTTTCAAGTCACCGCATTTCAAATGCAGATTGCCCATCATCTTGACCACGCCAGAACCGCTGCAACTGCGCCAGAAATTTTGCTTAAGAAGGAACTCAAAAAGTTTATACAACGTGGAATCTAGGCAGAAATATAGACCAACGACAGAAGAAAACGAATACATCTGATGTAACAGTTTAACGTTAGGGCAGTATTAGAAGTAGCTTATATTAGGCCATCTGTGACAGTTTCAACAAATTATATCCTTTTAGGATCTATTTTGCCAGATAGGACTGATTTCCTCTGTGAACATGTTTGAGTGGCCAGGATTTAGCTCCCGTTGCGTGAAGGCTGATATTTTGTGGGTTGTAACATTCACTAAAAAGACTGTGATCCCACTCGCCATTCAACTTTCGAGCGTAAAGTTAGTAACTTGGGGGAAAACATGTAACTGCGTGTTTTCTATTCATACTTGATTGGCAATGTATTCTCAGCATCTTACAAGGTCCATGTCTAATGATATTATAGGCTGATCGGTTATTTTTGTGGTACTTTGCATCACACCAGGCATCGGAAGCCAATCCATTTTGTGTTCACACTCGCGGTTACGCCTGATCCCGCCGCAAGTGTCTTGAACTACCTCCTCGAGGTGGATTACTTTTGGATCGGGATGGGAGAAAATCAATCTGGATTTGAGTGTTCACACTGCAAAAACTGATCTGGATTGACTGAATTTCAATAATTTCGATCGGGGTCTGTGGTCAATCCGGATCCATCTTTTTGAAGGTGAACGGGGTCTACAAACAGAGAGAAGTTGACCTACCTAATAAGAAAGGCCAGTTAAACCTTGGCCACCCTTTGGCCAGTGTAACTCACCAGCTAAGAGTCCATGTAGTGTTGTAACAAACCACACCTTTTGAAAAAGAGAAGGGGCATGCTCTGGTGTGCGATGGTCCAAATACTAGTACTTATCTGATTATTCACTACGGACAGGAGTAGTGTGAAATTCACACTGATGGAGATCCTAAAACAAACAAACAAACAAACAAACAAACTACAGTCAACACAACACAACAGATATAACAGCAAAACCAATGGTAAACAGAGCGTAACTTGGAAAATTCCAACTATTATGCATAATTATGCATAAGCCTGAGAACAGTTATGCATAATTATGCATAAGCCTGAGAACAGTTATGCATAATTATGCATAAGCCTGAGAACAGTTATGCATAATTATGCATAACCCTTGGAAGCCTTATGAACAATTATGCATAACTGTTTGAAGCATTATGCATAACTCTTGACCATTATGCATAATTATGCATAACCTTCAAACCCTTATGCATAATTATGCATAATTATGCATAATTATGCATAATGTTGCAAATTTAGATTAATCCCCAGGGGGCAATCGATGGTGGCTACGTATTTCTTACATCATTTTTACCTATAGTTTGCAATTTTAGCCCATCAGGGTGTAAGGTGGCTGAGATATGGGAGGCCAGTCCGGAATTAAACTGGAAGTCCGGAATTAAACTGGAGGCTGTTTGATGATGATGGTGATTTTTCACATGTAGATGTACAAATACAGTTTGTAGCTTTATTTTAGACATCAAACGTCAACATGAGGTTTAAGAGGCCTTTTTGTCCCCCCTACAGGTGACAGTCTGACCCTGCCGAGATCCAAGCGACGAGCCCCGCCCCCTCCCCCGGGGACCAGGTCCCCTGAGGTGGTGGATGGAGACTTGTACCAGGATGACATGAACATCAGAGGTCATATACTTATCAGTTTATAAGCCTTGGCTATTAATTCTACCAAGCAGTATACGTAGTAGTTAAGCAGAAGAGAGAACTTCAAGTTATTAGGAACGAAGATGCAATTGTACTACATGTGCCACGGTAGTATGTTTTGGTTCAGCAACTAGAACCCTGCTCCTGGACAAGAGAGTTGGGACTTAAAGAGTTCATATCAAAGCCTAAAATTGCTTGGACAGGAAAAAGGGTTTCCGTCTATTGGACATTGCCCCATATTCTTAATAATTGCACATGAAAATAACAGGGAAATTTTGAATTTTCTGGTACATTGACTCTGATGGTGTTGTTGTAACAGTTATAACTATTGTAGATGAAAAACATTCTGTAAACCAAGATAACTGGAACAAGCTACCTCATCTCTTTTGAAAGGTCAGCTGAAGAAGTTATGTGTTGGTGTTGTATAGTCCTTTCATAGGTTTTCATATAGAAAATGGTTGTGATATTTTCTAACATGCATTGCCTGACCACAGGATACAACACTTTGCCGGCCAAGCCGCCTCGACCCATGAGCTATGCTGCCCCAGGCGACCTCAGCCTGGAATTCCGACCTGCGACCTTTGACATCCCGCCGCCGCCCGACATCCCTCCTCCTGACGTGCCCCCCTCCCCATCCCCGCGAGAGGAGGAAGTTAAGATGGAGGAGGAAGAGGAAGATGAAGCCGTTGCCATGTTGGCTCCTCCTTCAGAGTACGGAGAGGCATCTTCAGCTGCCAGTAAGTCTGACTCTACTAAGTTCTAGCTCTTGTGTCGTATATCTGGGAATAATTGAGTCAAGGTTGGCAAGAGACTGTATCATGTCAGACGTTTCCCTCACTGTCTGTCACCTTCAGAAAACAATTACTGGTTCTGATTCATACTACAGCTGTTACTGCTGTTGATGACGAGTCATTGTTGCCCTGAAGCCGAAGGTGAAAGATGATCACAGAAATGCTGAATAAGAAAGTTTAATTTCTTTTATATACTGTTGTGCAGTAGACATCATTCGAACATTCTCCTTCAAATTTTTTAGCTCTTCACAACAAAAAAACTGGCACGGAGATACAAGGAAAATTTATTTTCTGCTACTTTTAAGGGATAAACCAAATCATTTTGTAGTTATCAAAAAGTGTTTTTCTCTCATTCTTTTAGAACTTTCTGAAGAAGAAGAAACTGTATTCTATTGTTCTTAGTCCTTTCTTAGTTCTTTTTTCTATGTCCCTTGTTGTATACATGTAACGTTACCTGTGCAGCAGTGCTATAGTAGTTAAGTAGTTTCTTATAAGTTTTCATCTTCTGTGCATGGAAGAATGTGATGGAAAATGTATTGCATGATTTGTTTTTGTACCAAACATGGCTTTGGGTAAGTTGAAAACAATTCTTGAAATGCAAGAGATTTCTAAGGAACTTGATAGGAAGTGCATATTGCTGTGTGCTTGGTAGAATCTTTAGGATGTCACATACTTGCAACAGTGTAGTTTTCATATTAAATTATGAAGTGTGGTGTTTATCACATTATGGAAGCTTATTATATGTGGCGTGTATTATGGAAAGCATTTACACGAAGTGTGTAGGAAGTAAAGGGAGTTATACAAACTATATAATGAGTATCAGAAAATAGTTTGGTTGTCTGTCTTTGACTTGCTAGCCTGCTTTTTTTTCTAATGCTGTACACAATATCGGTTTGGGCTTTTGCTTTTGTTCCTGCTTACATTCTAACTACTCATAAACTTAATGTCATCCATATTTTGTTTTAACCTTGCCCTTCTAGTTGTTTTGGGGACCCAGGAGAATTATGGGTAATCTGACAGGTGCTCATTCCTCAATCCCTTCATGCATTGCAGGCTGGTTCACCGAATGGGACGAGGATTATAGCGACCTCTCGGACACGGAAAGCACCGGCAGCTTTCCTGACGACGTCGAAGTCTTCAACCCAATCATATTAAAACCAGTATATATGAGAACTACCTCTGGAGAAGAGGCTTAGCTGATAGTTCCCATGATCCTCTCTCACCCAATACTCTGACTGGCAGCCTCAGTTCCCATGATTCTCCTGTGGACCCAACTCCTGAGCCATAGCATGCACCCACGTTGAGTTTCTGTACATGTCGACTAAACTTCTTTTATTTCAGGATTTTTCCTGTTTGCTCTTCGTTTAATGAGTTTGAGTTTCTTCTTTGCAGCTATTTACCTTGCTCAGCATTCCATTTCAGCAACGTTGTCTACAGTCGACTGACTAGTAAAGAAGCTATCTTTTCTCAGATTCCATCCCCCTTTTTGCTGTACTGTTGTCTTCCAGGTAGAATCTTCTAGTCTGAATCAGACCTGTTAGTAGGCATGTCTGAACAAAATTTGGAGAGTTGCAAGTCTTCTGGGAGGAGGTTATGATTATTATTATACCTGAGTCTTGTTATGTTTTTATTTTTGATTGCTCTGGGTGACAACTTATCACGACTTGCAGCATGCAAGCAAACAAAATCTTTAAAACATTTTGTGGTAAACTTCACTCTGTTGACTGTTGACAAAGCCCAGCTTAGGCCACACCAATTTAATTTGTTGGTTCTCGGATTTTTTAGAAAAAATATGAAGCGACAGGGCGAAAAAAAAATAAAAATAAAAACAGGTCTAGGCATCCCATTATAGGCTTAAATGCTACGGAATGAGCCATGAAGTCAACACAAAAGGCTGGGTTAAAATTTAAACATTGAATTTTGAACTTTTAATCAAACCACTGCAATTATAGATGGGAAAACTGTAACAACTAGGAAGAAAAGGACTTTCCTCAACTGTTGGGGGCAAAATATGAGCATTTTTCAGTTGATTCAGGACCAGTATCAAATTTTTTTTTTTTTTGCAAATCAGAAAAAAACGAAGAGGCGAATCCGAGAACCAACAAATTAAATTGGTGTGGCCTTATTACCTTACTTTAGACACTTGGTTTTAAACAAACTGGCAAAAAAATCAAACCTTTTTTAAAACATTTGTGGCATGAAAGTTTTTCATTTTTTTCTTTTCCTTTTTTTCAATATCTTTAGTGACATACCGTAAGTGGTAAATGAGTATGAGAGGAGCCTCCTCCTACAATGAGTTGTGGTTCACCTACAGCATGCAGTTCCTCCCAGATGATTGACAGATGCATGTGCGTGATGATTGGTCAACTGATGAAGCCATCTAATGATTGACAGATGCATGTGCATGCTGATTGGTCAACTGATGAAACCGTCTTTTAGTGTCTTGATGTCTACTCTTGCTTGATGTGCATGATTACTGATAATGACTTCCACAATTACAGATGATTTTTGAATGGAACATTGCTCGATTTCTAGCCAGGCAACACCACTTTTGGTTTATATTCTGTGTGTTCTATAGTGACTGTAGATTATTTATACTTTCAGTTTTCTTGCCTCATAGGAATATAAAATTTTGTACTTGCCTGCTGTCACAGAAAGGCTGTTTTCAGTCCTGTGACCAAGCCTGTTTTCTTTTTGCAATCTACTCGCTATATGAGCTCCTCTACCCAAGCATATAAATCCCATATCTCAACTTATTTATCAAAGCTAAAGGTGCTATAGCTAGGAAATCCATTTTGTAGTTGTTATCTTATTGGATACCAAAAAAACATACCATTCTTTGGTGCAGTCAATGTAGGAAGGCAAACTATGCAAATCTATGTGTTGTTAACATTCTTTATGTAAAAACCTTCCTAGAGAATTATAAAGTACCCATAGTCACAGTATATAGATTCTGAAACTGTACAGGCTTTCAAAGTACATATAGTTACTATGCAAGGAAAATTCATCAACTGGAAAGTAGCAGAAGGTAACAACGTCAGTGAGCAAATTCTTAAAAGCATGCAGTGAATATAGGTAGGAAGATGTTGAATAATGGTCATATCAGATATAGTATTTTATTTCATATCATGCAACCTTACTGAAAGCTGGACAGGATGATACAGTTTAGATACATGTATTATAAATATCCAATAACCATATTTAAGGTAGGGGTGGGCAAGACATTGATTTATATTTGGTATACTTCGTATGCATGTCGATATTTATATATTATATGCAGATATCGATGTAGAGGTAGAAAACAAAGACTTATAATTATCATGTGCAATAAAATTGCAAAAAGATTTTTATTCAATTTCATTCTTCCTTTCTTAATAGTTGAATTTTATAGCACAGAACATATACCTGATGTGTAGGTAGAGTTATATATTATTACACTACACTGATTCTTTGTGTCACTATGTTGTATATATTAGAGCCTTATTTCTATGGAAAAGTAGCCTGAACTGTTCCAAATCACCAAGAATTCATCAGGTTTGGAAATTAGTTTTTATAATTAACTCTCTGCTCATTGTCATAATTTTGGGCTAAGGAAGATTAAAAAGTCAAACGAGATATTTATAGTGTGGAATGATGATACTATTCAACCAAGGAGGTTATAGTGTCCACTGTAACCTCCTTGGTTCAACAAATTTGACATTGATTTGCTGATCAAGCTTCTAAATGTTTGAGATGACTGAGGTCATCATTTGTCGTGGGAAACATGCCCCAGGTATGCATCATTGCACTGAGAACTTCCGCTGGTTCTTAATGTACTGTCAAAGGTTACAGCCCACCTGTGTGAACTGGGATGAACCGGCCTTGTCATCACACTGGAAAAACTGGTTCTGTGAAAGATCACTAATAACAGGTTTAAGCCCCATTGATATGGTTATTTGGCAAGAAGTCTTTAATAGGAGGAAAATGGAGTTATTTGACAGGAGTTATGGAGTTATCAGGGCCCCCTTGGAAATCAGTTGTTTATCAACTGAAGGGGCGACCCTCAAGATTAATAAATAAATAAACAGGGATAGTGGGATCTATAAAATACCAGTTGGTGACATTAAGACATATTTCCATGAATGCGGCCTAACTATACCTACGCACTTACTAGTAATCAAAATTGTGCTTGAAAATGGGCAGATGAAAGTAAAAGACTAAGTCTTCCCCTTTTTTGTGATACACGTTCAAAGAGACATGTGAGGAACCTTATTTGCCTTTTATCTAAGACTTGTGTTCATTGTTAGATCAACACTGGTCCAAGCAGAATCAAATTTTACATTAACATACCAGGGTACAATTCATTTGAGCTACAAGGGAGCTCACTTTTTATGTAGCCAAATGACCAAAAGAACAAATGCTTCCACTTCTTAATATATGAATGCCAGTTGAACTTTGGAAACTCCTTATAACAACCACAAGGTTAAAAATTGAATATTTGTATTCAACCTCCTTGCAACAACTGAACCAAACAGAGACAACCATCTTGTTGGGTAAATTGTGTTAAAATAGCTTAAAAGTTGAAGAGAAGAGAAGGAGGATCTAGGCAGGGCATTCTTTTAAAAGACAGTGGCTTCCAGGTCAGTTTGTAACAGGACTAGGGTGCTGATTTTCCTTCCCGATATCCCGAGATTACAAAGTCCAATCTGACTGAGAATGGAGACTGCAGCTGAGAGCTGACCATGCAGCTGGTAATACATGTACTGAGTACACAGATTGAGTTCTGCACATTGTTGGCATGGAAAGATACATTTCTGGTACCTTTTTGCTGGGGCTGCAGAATGTACACGTGTATAACCTGAGCTGCTAATTGTCATCTAGCAGCACTGACCAGCAAAAACTGTGTTTGGCTGTGCCATCTAATAGATTTATAGATAATGCTCAAAAGAATGATTTTTTAAAAAGACTCTCTTGTGTCTAACAAGTAGATTTTCTTTCTCTTAGGAAGAACATGAGATGTTTTTTTGAATGGAGGAGTTTGACTACAATTCGCATGATTGAGATTTTATGAATGATGCTGTGGCCGAATGTTTTACCTCAAGCCTCATCTCTTACCATGCTGACTTACTAGCATGCCAGATTGGTCAGGCATGGGGTTTAACTGTGGCATGCAGTTTTGAAAGGCGATCTTGGTTGATATGTTGCCTTTGAGAAATGAGAGTGATCCTATGAGTGACCCAGAAGTTACACCAGTCGTCCTAGAATGAGCAGCTCACTTATTGTAATGTTTGCTTTTTGTTACAGCTGAGAAACCCACCATCACACAAGTAAATGAGGCGATAGATGTATCCGAGGTGAGCATAGATGCTGACTTTAAGGAAGAGGAGAAGATGGAAGAAGGCAATGTGGCCTCCATGTATTTTGGTGCAGAGAAGGCAGATTCTGACAGTGGAGATGACTCAGACGACACAGGATTTGTCACTGTGAGCACTATCCAATCAGATGACAGGAAAGCTTCTGACCAATCAGCAAGCTCCTTTTCCGACCAATCAACTGTCAATATCTCTGACCAATCAGAGGACAGAAAAATCACTATGGAATTGGCAGATTCCTATCCTGACCAATCAGAGGATGTAAAGAGGAATGAAGATTCAGCCGGTTCCTATCCTGACCAATCAGCAGTCAATACATCTGACCAATCAGAGGCCACTCAGTCAGACCCATTAGAACTGGAATACCTGACACAGACAGTGGACAGTTTGACAGAGGGTTTCAGCTCGGACGAATCTCCAAGTGTAAGTCACGGAAGTGGCCAGTTGGACTTAAAAGAAATTAGAGAGGAGACACGTACGATTGAAGAAACACATGCTGTGTCACAGCCAGAAACTGGCGAAGTTGAACACACTGTTGAAACCCCTCCAAATGTATCTAGTGAATTAGACGATGCGGAACTTTCATCTTTAACTGAAAGCAGCGAGGAGAAAGTGGGAGTAGGACGGGCAGATTCCCCTTCCATTAGCTCTCTCTCCAGCCTATCAGAGTCTAATGCAGCACCCGACCAATCACAGCAAAAGACTGCAGAAGTTAGCAACCAATCAAAGGAAGCTATTCCAAATGGACATGTGGCTAGTGACCAGTCAAAGGCATGGGTAGAAATGGACCAATCAAACAGGGTTGTTTCAAATGGACAGGCAGTGAATGGCCAATCAGAGGAAAGGGAAGACACGAATGTGCCAGACACTGAGAAAGTGGTACTGAGAGAGAAAGAAGGACCCCAGCAGGTGCGTGTTCGCTCTTTTATCGAAGTTGAACACGAGGAGAAGAAATTGTCCTCTCCCTCTCACCACATTGTGAGCTTGGAGGGGTCGGTACGCGGGTTCAAAGGTCATGTGAAATCCAGAGTTGTGGACATAGACTTTGATAAAGAAGGCGAAGAAACTGGGAATGTACAAGAAGAAGAGACAGCCATAGAGGAGAGCAGACCCCCACAGCAAACAGTTGAACACAGTGCGCCAAAAGTTAGAGAGGAGGAGAGAGAGCCATTGAAAAGTGTGCGTAAAGATTCCAGGGATGAAGGCAAAGTGCCAGAGGAGAAAAAGTCGGAGCCGAGGAGTTTTGTGAGTTTGAGTAACATCAAGTTTGCTCACAAGCCTGACAGGTCGTCCATCGGACTCACCAATTTCCAAGTTCTTCCAGACAATGCCATCCCTGTGGAAAGGGTGGTGAGGAAACGTAGCACATCAATCGACAAAGCCCCTGAGCCACAGGTTAAATCAGAACCGGTTCAGATACAGAGGGCAGACACAAAACCAGAAGTGATCTCAGTAAGTTCGATGAACAAAGCAGGACCTCATGTAGACATGACAAAGCTGCGTAAGCAGGTGCACAAAGACAGACCCACGGAAGACTCTTCACAGGAGGATGGAGCAGGGCCTCAGAAACCCCCTGCAGAGCCTCAGCCCGATAAGGAAGTCATAGTGTTCCCTCACACTGGCGAGCCCATCATTAAGAACGAGCCTGTACGCAGGAACACTGCAGCGGAGAAGAGAGCGGTGTACTTCTCAGCTCCACGTCCCTTCAGTCGGTCATTTGACAAGGAGGACGTGTCTAAGGAGGAGAAGACAGCCCACAAGCCGGCCCCACCTAAGAGAAGTGACAGCTTCTCCAAGAGCTCCATGCACAAATCACCCCCGTTCACCCCAAGCTATCACAAGGTGACCTCCCCGACCCCCCCACAGGGCATATCAGCGTATCACACTGTCCACCCTCCCCACCCCCTCAAGCCATCCTCGCCCCCCAATGTTGCATCTCCGACTGAAAGTGAGCCGAGGCCGCCGTGGGCGGCAGCAAACTCAGCTGCACCACTGGACGTTCACATAAAACCAGCCTTCATCGTTCCCCCTCCCCACCCCATCAAACCCACCCCACCAGACTCACAAGAAGAAGGGTCCCGGAGACAAGGCTTCTACGCCTTCGGAGCGAAACTCAGGCCGGCCTCGGCTAACTACTCCTCCCATTTCGCTACGGAGACCCAGAGCAGTGCGTCCGTGTTCAAGACAAAGTACCGCCCAAGGTCAGAGTACCTGGAGACCGTGCAGCCGGTGGATCCTGATGACGAGAGTTTCAGTCCCGCGGCGGCGGCGGGCTTAAGACCGGTGTCCGAGCGGAGGCTGAAACCGCTGCCGAAGAAGGAACCAGACAACCCACATGAGAAGCTGATGACGGCGATACGTGGCGTAGAGGCTACCGTCAAACTACGGAAGGTAGGGGCCATCTTTCTGTCAACAAACAGTGTTTAAATCTTTACATTGTCCAGATATTACTTTTATATTGTGTCAAGTTTTAGAGTTGTCTGTGGAAGGGTATGAATTGATAGACTTTATCACAGAGTTAAGAAGGTATAGACACTAAGTCAAGTTAAGAAATGTGGTGTGTTTTGCAACTTCTCAACATTTTCAGGTACCCCGACCTCAGACCAACAAAGTTGTGTATGGTCGTGTCATTGAGAAATCGGAGCATGGTGCTCTCGATCCTAACGATGAGGCACCACCGAGACCACCTTCCCCAGCTGGCTACGAGGGTCCATCAGTAGGGGTAAAAAATGATTCTCCCCCAGGGGAGACTTGTTTATGGTGCTGTGGGGATGAATAATGAATCTCCCGTGGTGCTGGTGGTGACAATGTTGCTGGAAGAATAAAAAGATAAATGTCTCCGCTGCTGCAGATTGACAACATTATTCATTCAAAATGGAAAAGTTTGTGTCCGTGCTACTCTGTAGCTAAAAAGAATCACAATTTTTGAATGAACCACATTTGTCTTTAGGTCCCATTGTATTGTGTAGTGTAAAATCTCCAAATTTGTTACCCAAATTCATACAATTGTTAAAAGTTTTCGCCCAAACCAGTTCTGTAGAAGACACTGTACAATGTAGTTTGTGACATCATTTTCCCATTTGAATGGAAATGCATCTACCAGTGTTTTAATGGTCTCAGCTCTACTAATACCATTTCTTCAGAGTTTCAGGGTTTGTATCTTATATGGGTACACAACACAGCGATGGCTGATTCACTCTTTGCTGTTACTGACCCACCTTATCCATGTCACCACCCTAACACTAACAACTGTTTTGCACATTACTGTGGTATAAAACTGTCTGTTGTAAAATATGGGGAAGGTTGGCAAAAGGTAGATGAGCTTTACACACAGCAAAAAACATAATGCAGCAAGTTTTAAATGGTTAAAACAGGACTTGAAAAAGATATTTTTGACAAATTTAGGATATTTTCTATTGCCTCCCTTGCCACTGTTTTGTTCTTGAAATGTTAGCCCTTGCAGTTTTAATGTTCAGTGTTCTGTGTGTAGATGCTGTATGTACAGTTTGCCACCTGTACCTCTGCTTGTATCTGCTGTGCATGGCACGTACCTTAGCAATAACCTTGCATGGCTTGGGTGTGTACACCTCTCACTCTCCCCGTGTCCAGGTTTCCAGTCCCGAGCCCCACGACGCTTCGTTAGGCCACGTCCTCGACAAACCACCGAGCACTCAAACAAACGGTTCCTCCAACGGTAGTAGTGTGCCAGCTCCACCCCCCTCACGACCGCCACCGCCGCCTTACAACCACGCTATGGCGGTGAAAAGTCGGACGTCTTCCGGTGGTACACAAAATTCTGACGATGCAGTAAACGCACGTAGAGCTGCTATGGAGGCCATTAAGGCCGGAAACCTGAATTCAACGGTTAAAAAGGTGGGAAAACACTAAACACAACTACCGATAGCCTTCTGGGATCTGTGAATACCTTATGGTAATTTCATAAAATAGCATACATGTGTAGCTTTGTGTTGAGTGCACTTACTTCAAGTTGTTTGTATGTAGTTCCCCTTTCTACATTGTACTTGCATCACTGAATCTGTAACCCGTTCACATGGACTAACACAGATTAAGTACATGTACACCACACATCAAGGTAAGAGAGGCAAGGCTGTCATTTTTATTCAGGTAATTAAGAATCGTTAATAAATATGTGAATTTTAGCTCTCACATGTCCAGTTTGATTGCAAAAGTCACACAAATATGATTTTATGGATGACCACCACATGTGCATTCTATGGTTCTTTACATATGTACTGGGCTTAGAAGGGGAGAAGGTTAGGGTTGATATTTATGGACAAGAGTCCAGAACTGTCCATGTATGACTACCAGAACTGTCCATGTATGTCTTTTTAGCAAGTGACCACTCCAAATCTCATATTTGCTGTGGCCATTTATCAATCCTAAGTTTGAAGCAAATTCATTGATCCAAAGTTATATCAATCTAAGTTGACAGCAAATGACCTTCCATCTTTTTAGCAAATGACCACTAGTCCCTGCTTCTGTTCCCCCACAGGTGTCTCCCAAGGAAAACACCTTCCAGGTGTCACCTGTGGACCTGGTGTAGCTGCAGCTGTTGTACAGGTGTCTCCTGTGGACCTGGTGTAGCTGCAGGTGTTGTACAGGTGTCTCCTGTGGACCTGGTGTAGCTGCAGCTGTTGTACAGGTGTCTCCTGTGGACCTGGTGTAGCTGCAGGTGTTGTACAGGTGTCTCCTGTGGACCTGGTGTAGCTGCAGGTGTTGTACAGGTGTCACCTGTTGACCTGGTGTAGCTGCAGGTATTGTACAGGTGTCTCCTGTGGACCTGGTGTAGCTGCAGCTGTTGTACAGGTGTCTCCTGTGGACCTGGTGTAGCTGCAGCTGTTGTACAGGTGTCTCAGAGCACACGCCTGGCCAACTTAGGACACACCTGCAAGCATGTCTGCAGAATGTACTGCGCAAAACATGTACTAATGTATTGTGCATGGCAGTTCGACAGAATGTCTTATCTAAGGTTGTAATAGTTTTCAAATGTTATCGGAAAAGATATTGTCTGTAAATTCCAATACAACGTTGACCAAATATCCAACGAAATCTGTGAAAAATCTGGGTTTCTGGCTGGCACAGTACATTCTGCAGACGTGGTACATCTGCATACATTCACATGACTACGGGATCGCTCACATATTCTTTCCCTTTTCAAGACATTTACTAGGTCAGTGATTTCAGTAAATGTAAAGTCGAATTTAACATTTGATGATATGACTGTGTATGTGTGGTGAGGAGTTGTGCACACATTGGCCCCTGCTATGTACACTTTTGTAGTACATGTTCATGTATTATCATTTACCAATTTAGCCATAAAGGATACTCAAGCAAGCTGAAATCACTGCTGCGCTTGTAAATGAGTCGAGCTAGTCAATATTTTGAACTCAGCGTGTTAGCAAATGATTATAAATCTTATGTTATTTATGCTGCTTTGTAACTTTTTCCTTAATTTGCCTCACTTAACAAAAATGTTGTAGCAAGTTACATCGTGTATATGAGTTAAGACTATTTAATTTATAACAATGAGTTATTATTTATCTTGCAAAGTGGTCGCTTTGGTTTGTTTTCAAACCATGTTCAAAAAGATTTGATTCTGTAACTTCCGTTTGGTTCTCATCAACCATGAAAGAATCTGTTGATTTTCAGACACTTTAAAGAAGTTGTGGATGGTGGAACAGCTAACTTAAGTAAGAATTCTGATAAAGTAGTTTTTGGTCACCACATGCAATTTAGAAAGTCCACCAAAGTCAATGCCATTTAAAAAAAAAGCAACTGTTTATCATTATAAATAGTATGTGCTTGTTAGTAGAGCCATGAACATATGGTTGCTATTCAAGTCTTCCTAATAGATCTTTTTGCATTTTGTGTTTCTCATGTAATTGTGTAGAAACTTTGTAAGAGGATTATTAAAGTACAGAATGTACTTCTAGAATATCTTTCATTAGTCTAGAGGTAGATATTTTTCTAATGTGAAAATTAACCTGCTTTCTTTTGAGTTACTAGTGCTCCGTATATATGCTGTATTCTATAAGCATTAAATGTATCCTTTAAAAGAAAAAAAGTATTTTGGTGGCCCCCATAGAACCCAATTTTGATATATTTAGGGTGTGTATTAGGGACAGTGTACAGACTACATAGTTCCGTGAGGTTCACTATGGGGTGTGTGAGAAATCAGAGAATACAGTTGCGAGAAATATATCTTGCCCTGGTGGCAAAGTATACAATGTGGCGATTACTGGACTTAGAAGAATAATTTCAGGATCACTACTTCATAAATGTAATTAGGGACATTGCTATACTTTTTCTTATGTAAAAGATGTGTACCTAATAGTATGTAACACTGATAAAAGGGAAAGTGGATGGAACAAAGGATCAAGAAGTGAAAGTAGATGGTAGGAGAGTTCCATTGTCAGTAATAAGTCCTATTAAGCATTATGTCGATCACTTAAACAAGCTTATATAGTGTTACATAAAGAAGTGATGTTTCCTTCAAGTTGATAATGACAAGAAATGTTTCCAGCTCTTTAAGCTGTGTAAGTTGTTGAACTATATGGATAATGTGTTACATGCGTAATAGGTGTTTTTTTCTTCATTTTCAGTTCATTATCTTTATACATTGTCAGTATCATATTATCCTGTGTACATATATAGATTATGTTTTGGAAATATAATATCTTGCTTGTAGCATAATTCTTGAAGAGTTACAGAAAAAATGATTGTGAAGCAAGCATTCATAGAGGTATAAAAAGTGTTACGATATAGATATCGCTGCATTTAAATTAGGTTGCGAAGTTGTGTATATATTTATACATATATTAATTTATCTTTAATCACATTGGTAAACATGTATTTTACAAACCAGAATGCCGACATGTGTTTGGAAAAATGGTACATGTATAACATCCAAGATGCATCTAGATGGATTCATGTTTGTTGTATCAGTTCATTGTTACCATAGCAACTACATATTCCCATAGCAACATATGTTACTATGGCGATGGCACAGTTCTGCTACGGGTGATTAGCATATATGTGCTAGATGTGTAAACTGGGTTGTACTTAGTCTAGCAAATTCATTTAACAGTTTAACAATGTATATCAAATACTATTTGAAAACAGGTATTATTCTAAAAACCATTGTGTACCTAACATAAATGGTCTCTATAGCAAACAAACTGAATTTTCTTATTGTATGAGTTTTATTTAACCAATCCTGTAGCATATGGATAAACTGATTAACAGAGGCCTAAACAGAAATGGATGTTTTGTGGACGATTTTATGAGACTTTGTATTCTTTGCTTCACGGTTCAGTTAAACGAAAAAGTCGGTTTGGTGAGGAAGATTTTCTGGAGAAACCTTGTGAGCTGCATTGACAGCTAGTGTTACTTCTTATCCTTCCTAAGATGTGCCAGAAACAATAAAGGATCAGTGTCCTATCAGTGTGTGTCATTTGGTTCTCTGTCTTGCATTCCATTGAAAATATTGCATTGATCAAAAACCTGGTACTTAGGCCATGTTGATTTGATTATATGGATGACATCCTCTGGGAGCCTCAAAACTGATGCGATCGTGTGAATAAAAAAAAATTTGTCAAAAAAAGTTGCCTTCATTATGAAATCTATATGGTCATGAAGGTTGAAGAATTTACTAAACACATACATGTAGTATGGTATGGTGAATAATAGAATCTTCTTCACATTTTCTTCTTTTCCTTTGGAATTGATTTTGGCATTCTAAGACATTAGTATCATTCTCCAATATTTCTTTGCAATCTTCGGCATATATTTGCTAATTTTGCAGCTGCTCTGTATGATTTACAGTATGGTCAAAAACTTTTTTAGAAACGGACGAAAATTTGTGAGCGCGTGGATGTTATTAAAATAATAAAATCAACATGGCCTTATTGAAAAAAAAATTGTTTGAATAGTTTTAAACTTACAATATCCTATGAATTATTTTGCTCATGCTCCTATCAGTTTGGTTAGAATATACAATACGTCAGCCACAGGTAAATGTGCCCCTACAGTTTGCAGACAAATCGCCAGAGGTCACTGCTACACTGTCCATCGGCCAGGTTTCGTCTTGACATTTCGCCGACGTGAGGAGGTTTGCAGTCAAGGGAACACTATTTCATACTCTAACACTAATCAATTCCAACAATAGCGATAATCATAACAAAATTTCAGCTTAAGACATGGGACGGCAAACCATAACAGGAAACGGCAATTTCGGCGGCGTTTTCGGGAATGTTGCTACGAAGTGTATGGCTGAGTCAGCTGATACAGGCTATCACTTCATTTTAGATGATCTCACGGCCAAGCCTGTACAACTACAAGGCTATCAGCCCCCTTTGAGTGCCCCACGGTCAGTTAACATTCGATCCTTCTGAATCGCCGCAAAGTCAGGCTCTTCCAGGCTACGAGATCCTTCTGAAAAGCCGCACGGTCAAGCCTGTTCCTGACCTTGGTGCTGATCAAGATGCCTGGAGTAGAAAAACCCAACAGAGCTGAGGAGTGTGATAAATCGCTAGAGGTCGCTGCTGCATGGTCTAGCATTGTGTGTGCAGTGATTCATATGCAAATCGTATTTTCTACCACTGCACTGTACATGCATGTTATTGTTGTAATTCGCTGTGCAATTCGTCTGCGTGATTTTATCTGTTTTCATCCCAATTTATGGTTGTCCCTTATGCTTGTCTGCTCTGTTAACTCTGTAGAATTAATTAGTGTTAGAGTATGAAATAGTCGTTCCCTTGAGTGCAAAACGTCCTGACGTCGACGAAACGTCAGGAGGAAACCTGGCCGAAGGACGGTGTAGCAGTGGCCTCTAGCGATTTGTCTCCAAACTGCAGGGTCACATTTACCTGTGGCTGACGTAACTATGACGTAACTGTAGTACTACACAACTTACAGTACAAGTATCAAAGCGCAAATCTACGACGACTGAACACGCACCATAATTCAACTTTTACAGTCTCAAAACTGGCTTATTCCTCTAACATTTACCACAGGTTCCATCTAGATGCCATGCACAGAACAATGTCTGCACCTTTCTCTAGCATTGTGCAGCACTACTTGGTACCCGTACGGGGTTCGCCCATGAATACTCTGTTGTGCGGTCAGAACCATTTAAGTCTCACAAACATGCAAATGAGTAATTTGTACCATTTAAATCTCACGAACATGCAAATAAGATGATTTTTATGCAGATCACGCAGTGTGGCGCTACACATGTCCATAAAACGTGACTCAAATGCTAAGTTATATATTGTGTAGTTTCTTCCGGTTTCACGACCAATCCTACCGTGTCGCGCACCAAACACAACCGGGCCGCCGTGTTTGTTCACATGTTGAATAGTAAATGTAGCGTGTCTTTCGTAGCAACATTCCCGAAAACGCCGCCGAAATTGCAGTTTCCTGTTATGGTTTACTGTCCCATGATTTTAGCTGAAATTGTGTTGTTATGATTATTGCTATTGTTAGAATCAATTAGTGTTAGAGTGTGAAATAGTCGTTCTTTTGACTGCAAAACCTGACGTCGGCGAAACGTCAGGACGAAACCTGGCCGAAGGACGGTGTAGCAGTGGCCTCTAGCGATTTGTCTCCAAACTGCAGGGTCACATTTACCAGTGGCTGACGTTACTATGACGTACTGTAGTACTATAGTGCAGTTGCAAACTGGCCTTTGTGATGAACCTTTGTACAAAATACTAAATTAAGTCACTCACAGCAACATATGTTTCACCGTCCCATGTTTTTAGACTTTGTTTTAAATAGAGTTGGAAATATGCGTCCCATTCACTGCAAAGTGCCCTGACGTCGGTGAAACGTATTGACACGATCCGGCAGATGTACCGTGTAGCAGCGACCTCTGGCTATTTGTGACGTGCAACAACAGTCTACTGTGTGCGAGTCGTGTGCATGGAATCATTCCTTGATTGAAAACGTAGGCATGCCATAGGCAAGGGACACGTTTCACTTTTTCGTTCGTTCAATCATTCATTCATTCGTTCCTTTCAGTTTACTGCATTCACAATATAAGATTTTGTTGACCGAACCAGACACCCGTCGTCTGCGCGATTATATACGTTTTCATCCCGGTTTATGGTTGTCCCTTCTGCTTGTCTGCTCTCTTAACTCGGTGCACGGAAGGTTGGTAGTCTTCAAATCCCGCTAAATACTCCAGAGCACGACCGATATTCTGCCGTACTGACGTTAATTACAACCGGGCCGCCATGTTTGTTTGCATGTTACTCTAGGAGTTTCAAAGGAGTCTCGCATAGGGGATGATTGCGTACTGCACTTCTTCGTACTTCTGTCGTAGGACGATCAAGATCTCCCATATTGTCCAAAAGAAAAATAAATTTATAAGAATCGGAACAATATAAACTTACGAGCAAGAAGAGGGGTATGCAAGGGGTGATTGTTAGCGAAATATTCCACTATACCGGGATTCGGTAAATCTCTATTTTAGCCCCTGATATCGAAACCTGGGAACGAGTCACTAACACATGTGGTTGCGTGATTGCGTCATGCTATTATACAAACCATAACAGCCTTGTACAGGTTTGGCCATGGTCTTGTAGCCATTCAAAATGAATTGATAGCCTGGAACAGGCCTGGCCATGGGACACTCAAAGGGGGTTGATAGCCTTGGCTTGGCTGTGAGACCATCTAAAGGGCAGGACTTGGCATGGTCACATTTCTTTGGTGATATTGCCCTGTCCTTGGTGCTGAAAAATGTCCTCAATTGCCAAACGTTGGAGGAAAGCATTGGTGAAATGACCTAACGTAACGAAAAACAACGGTCCGATTTCTTGGGTGATATTGTCCTGTCCTTGGTGCTGAAAAGTTCCTCATTGCCAAAAGTTTGATGAAAACATTGGTGATACGGCCTTACACAAATTGAAACAACGGTCCGATCACCCACAGTGTGCGGGTAGACACCAGGAGGTAACGTTAGTAAACTCCTGCCGAAAACGTGTCAGAGTAATTAATGTTTGAACTCTTCCGTTCTGCGGCAAATTTGTGGGACGGACGATGGATACAGGAGGCCAGTGGATACAGGAAGCCAAAGTCCCTTTGCCCCGCCGAATCTGCTTGGAGATTACCGATATCTCATAGCCTGGTATCCAGTCGTAGTTTGGGCGAGATGTCGTTGCTGGGGCTAAACAAGTTCCCCGACGCCTAGCCTGGGTGCCAGACCCATAGCACACTAGCAAGTTATCCTGTGTCCAGTGTGCTATGGGTCTGACATCTAGGCTCTACCCGGCGCCGGGCTCAACTAGTCACCCAGCAGGACTTTTGCTCACGGTCGGTAGTATTTGCCGTACCATGCCAGGGCCAGGGGAGTTGGTCCGGTAGAGAGTACATTTTGCCACGTGGGTCAATGTGGGTCTCAAAATGTACCCTCTCTGGCCGGTTAACTCCCCTGTATATTGTTCCCTTTATTTTGGCTAATTTCTACCATTTTTCCAGCATCCGCGGTGCCTGGTAGAGGCTACATAATATTTTCTGGAGGGACCATACAGCAGCGACCTCTGGCGATATCATTGGAAAAGACAGGATAGGAAAGGATGGTCCCATGATGCCATGCGCCCCACCCTTCCGCCATTTTGGTTCCTGTAACGAGACCGACCGAGCTGAGCCGAGCGCTCTGCGGTAGCCTTGTATGTAGGGCGCCGAGGATCACTTTTCACAGACCCCCAGACCATTTAAGGTAGGCCGTAGTGTTAAGTGACTTCTTCTCTACCATCTGAACTCTTTTTGTCCAAGTTAATGTCGTTAAACCCGTTGATACAACGCCATTTTTTCTTGGGAGGAAACCCCTCCGGTTTGCCACTCGGAAACATGTAACAAATTTTTGGACGGGAAGCCCCGAATTATAATTTCGGCTGGGACCTCCTCCATCCATCTCCTGGGCTGACAGCTTTAGTAGTCATCGATTTTTTATACGGCGATTTCTTTCAACAGTTCGCCCCTGGGTATACTGAATTTATTATAGCCCAGACACGACAAAAAACGATGTCTGTTATACATGTATGTAGTGAGTGTTTAAAAAGTGTGTTTTCAATTTAGGGTGGGACATGTAGTACATGTTGAGTTGACATAACATAAATTTCTTTCGCTTCCTCTATCCTACATTCCAGATCCAAACATTAATTTCTTTAATAAGCTTTTGGATATAAACACATCTAACGTTAGGTTGGTACATTGATACAAATCTTAGTTACAAAGCAGAAGTTAATATGAATTTCAAATTGAACTCAAAACACAATTTTCACAGGTGGCAAGATCAACAGTTTCCATTCATTTACACAAACATATATTTGTAGTGCAACTGACAAATAAACAGTCACAATTTTGATCTTTTTATGTCCACGTTTCTTCAAACTGGGACTGAATGCTTCATAAATAATTCAAGATTGGCCTGATTCTGTGTTTTATCTTCACATCATCATGAATCATTATCATCCAAGAGAGGAACTACTGTAGTGAATAAACTATCACAAAGGAAACCAAGTGCAGCGATTGTTTGAAGTTTGATTTTTCCCCATTTTAGCAGTTGGTCTTTTGTCTGTAAATCCAGGTGTTGTCATTGTATTTGAGGTATTCTGTCTGTGTTATTGTTTGTGTCTTTGTGTGTGTTGGAATCGAGAAGACGAGGAAGGGAGAGTTTGACAGTTATTGCTACGTTTTATGTCCTTATGATACAAGTGGGTATAGGAAAAAATAGTTGCTTCTCCATTGAGGGATTTCAATTAGGTTTTTCCTTAATATTATAATAAATTTTAATAAATGAAAGTCCTTTATTGTAACTTCCAGTCCCAAAAGTATATCTAGGGATCACTGTAACAGTGTTACAAGGAAGCATATATAACATGAGTTAAACTTGTGTATACAATGTACTGTATAAGCTCAAAATGTAAGTACACTCTATGCCAAAATACAGGAAGAAACTCAACTGAGTGAACTTGAGTGACTGGCTTATTTTGACAGGACACACACTAGTAACAGCAGGAAAATCCCGAAAAGGCAGACATCATACTTAACATGTCAACTAAACCAACACTGGTGACAGTACTGGAAATATTTTGCAGCTAGTTGAACAAATACTGATTCAATAACTGAGCATTGTACATGTTTTAGAGTAGAGTAGAGTAACATTTTAGATAGAGTACTAGTACTAGTAGCATAGAGTAGTTTTGGGAGAAAATGAAGCTGAAATGTCCTGTTTTTATTCTTTAACACGTTTTGGTAAAGATACATGTACTATATGATGAGGTTGTTGATAGAAAACCAGATGGAATAGTTGACAATTAGACTTGTGCCCAAATTTTTGTTAGCTTGGAATGTAGGACTTCCCTTCCACCCTCCACCCACACCTTTCCTCTGGGGTGTGTTCAATCATTACTCCCAATAGGGGGGTCAGAAATTCAGGCATTCCAGATGGGGAAATGAGTCCACTGTACCTGGGAAGTAGGATATGTTCTGTACTGCATTTAGCCATTTACTTTCCTGGTGCTTTTTTTTATGAGGGAAAAGGAGGGGGCCTGCATGCCCTTTTCCGTATAGCGTAATTGGCCATTTTAATTCTATGTAGAATTGTAGATCGTAGACAGACCGCTCTAATTCAACGTAGAGCGTAATTGCCGCATTTTGCGTAGAGCATAATTCACCATTTGATTCTACGTAATGTGTTGTAGCTACAAACTGAATTCCTGGATTCAATGTAATAGGCTCTCAAAATGTAACTAACGTAGAGCGTTGTTGGAAACCCCCATGCAGGCCCTCGTGTAGGTTAACAGTATAGCAGCTTTCCCAATCTTGGTTTGAGTTAAATTACAGGTAGCAGAAGAAGTGTCCAGACTGTTTGGGCTGTGTTTAGGCAGCTTTATTGTCTGTGATAAGCGGTATGTCTGTGTTGTCATGTCTGTGGCCCCGCCCGGTGACCCCTCCTGGTTTGTCAATAAATCCCACAGGTGAGTCATTGGGTCGAACCATTCAGGAAAACAGGGGGGTCTGATACTGAAGTAAAGGAGTGATTGCTGTTTTTGTTTACATCATATACATGCAAATTATTTGAAGACATATGCAAATCATTCATAGTCTTGGCTATCACTTGTATGCAAACTGTCGGTCGTGAATCAGACATTCTGTTGAATATTTTGTAAAATCATCTTTTAAAACATTTCCTCTGTGTCATCACGCAGAAAAAGAGGATGTCCACTTCAATTTAAATCTGATAGATTTAATCTAATATTGTGAATTTGTCTTCTATCTGTGTCAGGGTAGAATTTATTATAGCTTTTCAAATATCTTGCATCTAAATCACATCTATGTACAGTGTACTTACTAGAATGCAAAGTCTATTTCCTAATTTCTAACTTTCTATCCAACTTTTTAACATTTTTCCTAAGAATTCCTTTGATTGAAATGATTTCTTCCATTCTAACGCATCCTTCTCTATCTGTACAAATTCATTACATTCTACAGTAGACGTGGAATTCTGAAAGCTAAAAATACAACCTTCCTTTTTGGCTGTTAATCTAATTGGTGATAGAATCAGCCCACAAGTTGGTCACTGGTAGGATTATTTGATTTCTACCATCTCAGTGGTTTGTGTGTTTTTCCAACATGAATAATTTAGCTTGGCTGATTTTTTAGACCCTGTTCATACCAGACTTATATTTAGCGGTTTCAACCGGTTTTTCAAAAACCCGGCTAAAACCCTTAGCGTTCATACCAGACTTTTGATAACCGGTTTTGTAAAAATCCTGTCCGGTGAATATCCAATTAATCGGCCATGACTGCAGTTTGAATAACCGTTCCTCTCGCTCTTCTGATTGTTTTCCTTGGCCTTCTTGCTTGTATGCCGTCTTCAGTTTTTTTTTTTACCTTAGTGCGGCACTGATCCTTTATCTTCAAGAAATCAGCCTCCTCCAACATTTTTGTTTCGGTAGAGCCCTCGCCCCCCCCCCCCCTAGCCTTTTTCGAATTTGGCGACTCCTGCTCTCCAACCTAAGTATCAGGAGCGTCCCGTTCGCCGACCAGGTTGCGTTTGCTGATTCCATCGCAAAATGAAGAAAAACCGTGGAAAAACAGTGGAAAAGAACTCAAGTTGGTCAAAACAACGCGCTCAAAAAAGCTTGCAGGTCGCACACGGCCAGGATGCTGACCCCGTGACCCCGGAATTATGACGCAAAAAACCGGTTCAATAAACCCTTAGCGTTCAGACCAGGTTTTTCGGTGGAAAAAACCCACAAAAACCCCTCAAAAACCACCTCCCGAGGTGGTTTTTCAAAATCGGATTTAAACCCCTAAAAACCGGTTAATTTGCGTTCACACCAGGTTAAATAAAAACCGGTTTTTGAAAAACCGGTTGAAACCGCTAAATATAAGTCTGGTATGAACAGGGTCTTATCCTCTAGTCAATTCCCCTGACACAGATAGACTTGGGGATACAGTTGTCTGGTTATAATTGGTTGTGTCTGGAGTTGTTCTTAATAATGTATAGTGACATATGCTGGAACAGAGCTAGCAATGGCGCCTGGGCCTGGGGTAAAAATGTTGTGCTTCTGGATAGGCTACAGCGAGTAAATTTTATGGATGACATCCCTCCGCAGATTCCAAATCTAATGCGAGAGGGCAGAAAAAAAATAAGATGGCCCAAAAAAACAAGATTGGTACATTTTCAAATTTTGACATCATACGTATATTGTGCTAAGCACACTGCCTGAACCACATTTGTCACTGAAAAATAAAAGTACAAATGGTACAAATGGTTTTGAATCAGTGAACATCACATATTTTTGATATTAATAAAAGGAATGAAATGCACTGGTCACTACATCAAAGTTAAAGACAAAACAATAAATCATAGCCTTGTCTTGTCTCCTGTCTTCATATTTATCTGCTATCCACACTCCCAAACTAACAAAAGACCCCTTAATAACGTTAACGTTAAAAGAATACTTGCTCACTTTTGTCGATATTATTTATTATTAATATTCTGTGCTACTTAAAATCTTCTCCATGCTGACTTAGCTTTTCAATCACCTAACTTGTATTATTTATGATAAACAAATTCGGCAAAAGGAAGGAGTTAAATAAATATTAGATTGTTGACCAGTGAAATTTAACATATTGCCTCCTTCCAATTTTTCCAATTTGTTTCAAACCAATATTTCATATGTATTAGCTATCTGACTGTATCAGGGAGGGGTATATTATTACCTGTCATGATCATGCAAGGTATAGGCAAGATTGTATACTGTAATTCTGCAAATATTTGCAATACTTTTATGTTCACAAGACTACTGACTAGCCTCTCCACTGCAAAAATCATCCCACTGTAAACATTTGTTCAGTAATGTGCTCTGTGTGCCCACAGCAAACGTTAAACACTGTGATTGTGTGAACGCCTTTTTCCCCCTACCGTGAAGTTGTCCCTGCAAACGTACAGGAATCTACGGTAGTCAAGAGCCTGATTAAATTTGCCCTGATTTATTATACGTCTGGTGTTCTATCACGAAAACAAACCTACATCTAGACATGAGTCACAGTATGCTGTCTGGGATAGTACATGATCTGAATCAAAGCTTATAGTCTTTAGGGCTTAGTCAACACAATCTTTGCTATAGATTCCTATGTAATTAACCTCGACCAGTAATAACATCACCCTGAAAAATTATACTGTGCTGTAGTGATGCTGTACTGCTAATAATCTTTTTGTAAGCCTTAGATGGATCTTTACAAGTAATCTACTGTATGTGCAGGGCTCGAAATACTGCACCTTAGTGCACGCAAAATTGGAGCTGTGCACCCAATTTTTTTGTAGGTATTTTTGTACATACCAAATGTATAGTAGTATACAAGATATTCTTGACATTTAAGTGTCAGAAAAAAAATAAAATCTTTGTTGTAACTTACTTTTAAGATTATGAAGTTAGCCCTCATTTCAAATTTAAGCTCAGAGGACCAGTAAGATCTGTAATTAGGTTTTCTTTTATATGGTGCACCCCCCAAAAAAATTCTGTGCACCTAAATTTTTGGGTTGGGTGCACCAGTGCACCTATTCCCAAAAATGAATTTTTAGCCCTGATGTGTATAAATGTTGTGGTGGTTTTATTTTTGACCACGAAATTGCAACACTGTTTTATAGATCTACTGTACAACAGAATTGTTTCAAGTGTGAACTTCAAACACTGCGAAAACCGCCTTTTTCCTTCCTAAAAATAAAACCACCGCGAAGTTAGATGAATTTCCAGTGATTCCAGGTACCGGTAGTGTCAGTAGGGCGTGCTATGGTGGACCAGAGGGAACACCGTTATTGCAAACTCATCATTGTTTTTATGACTTCTTTATTGGTGTGATATTTATGGGGTCAGTACTGGCAGGAGAGGTCAGCTAAAATGACAGGTTGATGAAGTGGACTGATTTTTCCTTGAGCCTTTTGAAGGAAAAGAGTTTTGTTTGAGAAAGGAATTTTCATCTTCTGGCTGCTGAGGGTACTACATCTACATGTATAGCTAAATTTTTATTGTTTTTCATCATCTTTCAATTCATAGTTTTATTTACATATTATGTAAGGGTTAAGAAGTCAAGTAGGAAATACATTTTGTACAAACTGAAATGGTTGCAATTGTTAGTAGAACTACCGGTATGCTATGATAGTTTTTATTCCAAACTTGTTTGATTTGCAATAGAAAGGGAAAAAATTCTGCCAGCGTTGAATATATATATGGTAACAGTATGTTACAGGCAAACATTTCTGATAATAGAGAAAAGCGTATCTGAACCTGAAAAGCTAGTCATGTATGTGGAAAAATGAAGCCTCCATAGACATGAAAACAATAATTTATTTGTTTGTTTATTGTTTTCCAGGTTGTGTTTAGCTGTAGAGACGTAGTGTTGGACCATGGCTTCCAAACCGAAGCCTCTGCAGATGGCGCTACACAAGGTCATCATGGTGGGCAGTGGTGGGGTGGGCAAGTCAGCCCTCACCCTGCAGTTCATGTATGATGAGGTAGGTGGGGTACTTAACAAGACCTAACCAAAGAAAACACATTGTATTTTCCTATGCTTAATGTTTGCAGGCAGGCTCTAGATTTTTAGTACTGAGGCATAACCATGTTGATTTGATTATATGGATGACATCCTCTGGAAACCCCAAAACTGACGTGAGTGTGCGAATTGAAAAAGTTTGCCATGAAGGCTGAACAAATGACTAAACACACGGAGTATGGTATGGTGAATAATAGACTCTTCATTTTCATTTCTTCACATTTTCTTCTTTTCCTTTGGAATTGATTTTGGCATTCTACGACATTAGTATCGTTTTCCAATATTTTGGCAATCTAAGGCAATATAATTCCTCATTTTGCAGCCTTATACATGTGTACATTGTCCAAAGGAGTCCAATCATTTATTATATCGTAATTGTTGTGCGTAGTTTGTAGAAGACTATGAGCCCACCAAAGCAGACAGCTACAGGAAGAAGGTGGTGCTGGATGGAGAGGAGGTACAGATTGACATCCTGGATACAGCAGGACAGGAGGACTACGCTGCTATCAGGGACAACTACTTCCGCAGTGGGGAGGGCTTCCTGTGTGTCTTCTCCATCACAGAACAGGAGTCCTTCGCAGCGACGGCAGACTTCAGGTCAGGATATACTGTAGATTCAGTTAGATCATGTGGGGTTGTGTGGCGTAAAGGTAGTGTGTTCGTCTTGGAACCATAAGGTCCCAGGTTCGAATCCTGCCATTCAATTGTTCATAAGCATTGTTCAGCGATGTGCATGATTGTGCAAATAGAAATAAACAAGCAAACAAACAAACAAACAAACAAACAAACAAACAGGGTCTGATACATGGTGTCTGCAGACATGACAGTCTTGCCAGGTAAAACTTAAAGTAATGTATAAACGGCCCCAATGGTTAAAGTAGGTCCCTTCTCTTCAGAGTTGTTCCAGTTTTTCCACTATCAATGCAGTTCAGGTTTGATTAAAGGTAGCCTGGTATGTTGACTCCATGGCTCCTATCATGCCATTTGGGGCTATCATAGGATGCCTTGGTCTGTTTTTATTTTTAATTTTTTCACCTTGTCGCTTCCTATTTTTTCTGAAAAAAATCCGAGAACCAACAAATTAAATTGGTGTGGCCTTAACGTTGTCTTCATCTTTGTCATTTTCACAGGGAACAGATTCTGCGGGTGAAGAATGACGAGAACATTCCGTTCCTCCTGGTGGGCAACAAGTGCGACCTGTTCGACAAGAGACAAGTCACGATAGAGACCGCCACCGCCAAGGCAGGCGAGTGGAACGTGCCCTACGTGGAGACCTCCGCAAAAACACGGCAAAATGTGGACAAGGTGTGTCACCTGGGCTGAAAGAATTGCTAGTTGCTACCTACTGATTCAAGCATGTCAGTAGAACATACTGCACCTGCGCAAAATCCAGATGATAATCATAGCACTAATCTGCAAAATGTTATGAAGCAAGTTTAAGCTGTAATTTCCAACACAAGAAATTGGACTCACCCAAAAGATTCGACTGTACAACTCCAGTCTTTGTCAAGGGATTCCTTGTACAGTCGAAAATTTTGGGTGAGTCCAATTTCTTGTGTTGGAAATTACAGCTTAAACTTGCTTTATAATGATTTATACCAACACAGATGAACTTTTAAGATCTGCAGAATGTATTGGTTCAGGTTGTGTATTTAGGGACGACATCCCTTCTGTAGTTTTCATGTGTTGGAAAAAATATGTTATGGGCAAAGTTCTGATGCAACTTTGACCAAACATCCAACAGAAACCATGGTTTTGTGCAAGTGCAGTACGTTCTGCCGACATGCTCATTTATTCACGCTAGGAATGGTCAGGGAGGGGATACAAAAGTACAAAAAATTGTACTAATATTGAAAAAAAATTAAACAAAAAGACAAAGGAAAAGCTTTATACTATAGTATTGATGTGAAAGAAAAATTGTATCCTTATCTCTCTAATTGTCACTTTTGAAAAGGGAGAAATTATTATATTACTTTGTCAAGAACCCCTTATTAAAGATCTATGATTTGATAGCATTAGACAGTGCTGGTAGTACAATTATGTTGGTAGGATATGCTACCTCCCAATTTTACTTTGCCAGCTTCTATGTGTAGTTATCTGTATTTTTTCCTGTCAAAGATAAGGACAGTGAAAATGATTTGTATCATCTAATTTTTGTTATCAAAGAGGAAGATAAAGTCAGTCAAATTTGTACATTTTGCTGGCAGCAAAAGAGGTTTAAAAACAATGTCCAAACTAGAAGATGATATAATTCAATTTGGCCAAAAATTATTGTGACTTAAGTCTTAAAAGACTTTTGATAAATTAGGTTGTATTCCTTGATTTGATATCTGTGATGAAATATGATAGACTGTCTATACTTTCTCTATACCTTTTTCATCAGAATGTTACGTTATGTTTCCTGTTGTGCCTCTCATTATGTTGGTTAGCCACTAACTGCCCAATGTTTCTCATGCTGACTTTGTGTCATGTGAATGTCTGCAATTGTGTGCATTTCTGTTGCATTAGCATTCATTATTCCCTACCTTTTCCAACATCAATGTTTTTTTTCTTTACCAGTCTTCCTACCTCTTTCAAGAGAATAGAATATTCGAGAATGTCAGCCCTAACCAGAAAACATTGTTGTACATTTATACCATAGCCACATGCTAGAAAATGAAAAGCACAAGTTATGAAGTTGGAAACTTCACATTTTTGTCCCCCATTTTTCTTATGCTAGTACTTGTCGTCACAAGCTACCTGCCATTTTTGAAAACTACTCCTTCTCTTATGTGACTTGACACTATCACTAACAAAATGTCTGGAACTTTTTGGAATGCAAAATCTGTTCTTCTTTTTATTTCCTTCCATTTCACCCTCCCTACCTCATCTAAATGTAATTTTTTCCAGTGCTTCATAATTATAATATGAATTTGGATGCTTTCCAATAATCATAAGGTGATGCTCTTTTTTTAAGATAAAGGGCTACTGGTACTTATGAGGTTATTTTCTGCTGCACATTCAAAAGTTGTTACTGATTTGGATAATAATAATACAAACAGGTAATGAGGAGACAACTGCTATGTAGTTTTGATATCAACACTGCATGCATTTCCACAGGTAAGGTGAAGTGAAATGTTAAGTTACTGCTTACAGAGTATTGCATGCCACGTAGGACATATTCTTCACAACTTTACTTTTTCCTATATTCTGCATGTTGCTGTTATGCATGGTTGAGAGGTACTCTACCGAGGTTTTCCCTGGCTAGACTTTTGGAGGTTTTTTCCTTGATTCTTGGTGCAGGTGGAACTGTATGTATCCTTGTGTTTTCTCCTTTTCTTTCTCCCTCTGGTCTCCCCCGTGCGGGCTGCAGGCCTACTTTGATTTGATGCGAATGATCAGGGACAGGAAAAAGGCGAACGGTCCGACAGACAGACAGGGAAACAGGAACAAGCGAGGGTGCCTCCAGATGTAAGGCCCACCTTATGTTCTCTTCCCACCCCATTGGGCACACCAGCAAATGTCGGGTTTGATACATGGTTTCTATAGCTCTCCCTCCAGCTCACAACTGCAATCCACCTTCTTGTTGTCTATGTAAATTGATTTGAAGTTTTTGTGTATAGAACTATGGAATCATTATGTTTTACCAGAATATTTAGTTTTTATAGAGTTTCAAATGGTGAAGAAAATTACGAAAATACATTACAAACTGTATTACTAACTGTGTTAGTAGAATCATCCAAAAAAAAGTAAACTCCAAATAGGAAGATTTTTTGTAGAAACTTTCAGTTGATATTATAGGAAAGAACATTGTCAAATTTTTCCATAGGAACATTTTTTTTTCATCAAATGAACTGTGTTACAACATTTATGGAGTATTGTTATGTAAAGTGAAATGAGCAAAAGCATATACATGAACTATATACATCCAGCCAGAGGTCATTGTGGAGGATTTAGAGTAGTTGAAGCAATTTCGAGTTTTTTAAACAAGTTGTCTTAAGATTGTTTCCTTTAATTAATACATGTAGTTATTAGTAAGCAATCTAATTATTCCTGAGGTCTCCAGACAACACACATGACTGTTTCATAGCTGCAACAAAACTTCAGAGAACAAGATCCCTTACAATAGAAGGAGGATTGCATATGAGTAGGAACAATTGTCAAACCCAACATTTCACAAGTGGCCCCACCAACGGTCACGTTTTAAAGATAGTAAGTTCTACTAACATTTTCCAATGGCCTACAGTTTCAGTTCAATCCTTGCAGCTCCTTTCTTTCCTGTTGATAGTTTTGTCTCTTATTTCTCCCTCTTCCCTTCTTTACCTTCAGTCCATCTCTATCATTTTAATGATAGAGGGCCTCTCACTGCAGTTTGTTTTGGTCTCACAACAGAGTTTTTAAGTGTGCAGTATAACAACATACATGTACAATCTGTATTGGTCAGATTTGTATCAAAAACTATTTCCTGCTACATGGAAAATCATTTGCCTGCTACTAATCAGTTAGATGTGCAACTGTTTTTCATTTTGCCTGTTCCGGTTCAGCTAGATTCAAATATTTCAATCATCTACATTCTCCTGTTATTTTGCAGCTCTATGTATAACCTTGTTTGTAGTTTGTGCGCCCATCTGGCCTTTGCTTTTCACACTCACAGGTGTCTGTAAAATGGACTTATCATGTATATTGTACTGACAAGCATGTTCCTGTTTATTTATAGTTGTAGATACTAGTAGTGTTCTTCGGTCAACAGTGGTTATTTGGATTAAGTTGTATGCAGTTGGACAGAACATTGCAATTTTAGGTTATGAACATGGACCTACAAGTGGTTATACATGTACATGTATGACCTAAACAGATACCTTCGCTCCTGGAATGTGGAACATTTCAAAATGTTGACACAGTTTGTTAAAGGGAAACATGTACAGAAAGCTCTCTTGTCTGATGTTAGCCCAGTACAAAGCCGTGTACTCTACTAACAACAAGTGTTTTGCCGTTATTCTATGTTTATGTATGTTTTGTTCAGTTACACTACTAACAGGTCATCAGCACACAGCTTCAAGATGATATTGTTTCTCAGACTGAAAAGGAGGAGAAATAAATAAAAGAGAGCCCGTGATTTAAAAAAAAGTTATCTGAGAAGCAATAGAGTATCACGTGTGTCCTATGCCTGAAAGAAGGAAAGTTGCTGACGATGTTTTCTTGTGTTGTGCAGGTGTTCTTTGATTTAATGTGCGAGATCCGCGATCGGAAGAAAGAAGAGACCGCCAAGCCCGACGGGAAGAAGAACAAGAAAACCAAAAAGGAGGGAAAAAGAAAGAAGAAATGTGTTATATTGTGATCTTCTTCTTTCACCCACTCTCAATGTGCAAAGCATTTTCCGTTCACTAGTGTGAGTTTTTGGTCACATCCCCCTTTGGACTTTGGTTTGATCCAACACTCTGTATCCTCATTCGCTGATTGGCTTTGCTTGGTCAAGCCAACTTTTAATGGGGTAGAAATTAAGTTGAAAGCAAATTCTAACTTCTGAGAAGGACACAAGTCATCAGTGTTACAACATTGGGATGGGTGTGCCTTAAGTTAAGTCTTAAACACATGGTTCTCCTTTCCTCTCTGTTGTGTTACATCCTATTGTTTTACTTCTCTAAAATTCTGAATAACTATCAATTCCCTGAATTTGTGAAAATTGTCCTGTGATGTTACTCCAAAGAGCATATATGTGCATAAGTATGCATTACTGTGCATCACTGACTGAATACTAATTTCAATATGTTGAACAGTTTCGATGTAAGGAAAAGTAATGAAAAGAGAGCGAGACAATTTGGGAGCATGTTACTTTGTGTATTGAAATTCCAAAGGAATAGCAAGACTTTCTTTTTTGTTGTTGTTGTAATTTCTCAATGTCTTGCTTCCTTCTTGCTTCATGGCATTTAGAAGTTAATCTTAGAAGCTTTACAATGTTGAGAAAGCCAGTCAGTTTTGATAATGTAGAAAAAACATTGTTCTCTTGGGGTGATCCTTTTATTGATAGACATACATGTGTATAAATTCTGACCCATAATCATATCCAGTTAGCAACACTATGAATTTTGTGGAAAAGTTGTCTCATATCCCTGTGGGGTATCATTTGGTCAGAATCTGTAATGCGTCTTCTGTTGATAGTCCATAAAAAGATGCATGAAATCAAGCTTGTCAAAATGTAAAATCATGACCATTTACTCTTCCTTGATATTGGAAGGTTCCAAAGTTTGTAATCTTCTCAACAAACATGTAATTACTGTATAATTGATTAATTACATTAATTTACATATTAAGATATTTGCAATCTTAAGCACTGATGATGATAATATTACTAATTGTATTTATATCACTGTTTATGAAATTATGCACCTAAAATCTTATGTTAGGCAACTTCCGTAATGACTGACAGTAAGTTCGCAGGGTAAGGGCGATGGCAAAAGGGGGCATGGTAGAGTTTTGTCAACGGAAATGTAAAAATTTGTCAGCAAACTTTAATGTTTTTGAGAGGAACTTTGTCCGGTAGGATGCTTCAATACACCACATTGCATAGTCTCTTGTTTGGCATGAAATATCATTCAGTGAAAATTGATATCACAATTAACATACAACTTGCTTGCCTACAATGAAAAATGAAATATTCAGATAAGATATAACACCATATCTACAGAACAACGCTTAGAAAATTTGGGTCCAAAACACTTTATTGCACTATATGACATTAGACCAGTACACTGAGAAAAAAATGTTCCTATTCACCAAAGAAGGTTAGCAAATTAGGTAGATTTTAATTGATTCAGTTAAACACTATAATTAGTACTATGGATGTAATTTCTTTTCCTCCTCACAGATACATTTTGTACCCACTGAGGTAAATGATATGGGGAGGGGCAGTGTGCATTTATTTCAGTAGAATCAGTGATTGTACAGTGTGCTTCTGGCATGTTGCACATTTCTGTTCACATTATGCAACCAATGCACTTTTCTCTGATTTTCACTTGCTGAACTTTGACGGAATTCTGGCAATGTGGGCACGTGGGAATGCTAAAGCATTCGACAGTTGTACAGTTTTTAATTGAAGACAAATAAAGTATTAATGGCGCTAACAGTACATGTACATCTTGTTTGCTTTGGTAAAAAGCGTAACATTGTGATGTCAGTGTTTAAAACTGGTCGCTTTCGCACAATGCTTATTAAATTCCAAACAGGATAAGTATTGAATGATAACAGATGTATTTCTTCCTTCCATAACTTTATAAAAGTTCTCAGTTGGTCATTCATGGTTTATATGTGAGAAAACTTCTGGTATTATTTAATCAGCTACTGCCGTGTGCCTGTGAAGCTGGTGTGTTACACATGCTGAATGACTCTTTTAGATGTATAATTGCCAACACATAGATACAGGCAAATACCTGATCATGGTTCTTATTCTTGTACACGTTTAAGTAGTGGCTCTGGCAACCATGCCATGCTGGCCCTCTTCCCCCAAGCATGTCCAAAAGATTTTTAAGTCTGAAAAGTAATAACACCCATGGTGAATTACTATTATTTGAAACTGACTTCAAATTCAATGTCTGTATATTGGAAGGCACAGATTTTAACCTATGTTGAGGCAAAAGTGGTAAAATACATTGAACATGTTGGGGTAGTCAGGAAACTTTGGGCCCTCTGTCCGCCCATGTTTAATAGTTTTGATTACCATCTTCCCACATACATAGACTATCTTGACTCCTACAATACAGAAAGTCTTCCTGACTTCCCCTGCCCATATTTGTGTACCCAAGGAGGTTATATACCAAAGGATATAACCTCCTTGGTGTGGCATAAAAGATGTACTGTACATCTGATATTTCTCTCCACAAGGCTCCTTTGGGGATGGAAAGAGTAGAAATTGGTCAGATGTTAGAATGAATTACCAGGGGACTTAGCCTGGAAAGCCCAAAGGAGTCAGGTGGAGACTACATCTGTACATGTATTAGCCTGGTAACCAGCCTGCATGGGCACCAGTTCTACTAAGCAAAGGCCTTTTTTCTGACAGCCGATGTTTCCAGCTGGCCTTGATGAAGTACATAATAGAAACCAAAATTACCAGGCTTACCCTGTATAAGAATAGCTACTACTACTGTACTGTTGTGAAGCCGGATTTTACACCATACACAACATGGTGTAGGCATGATGGCTTTTACACAGCAAAAGAACATTGTTTTCAGTTGGGATATTCCATTAATGATAATTGGGTGGGGGGATTTAGAAAGAATTGCTGAGCATGTCTATGACAGTTGAGTCTGAATCAGTTGTAATTTGTGTACAAATGTCCAAAATGTCGCAACACATTAAGTCTGTATGTGGTTTACAAATTTGCAACAAATGCATTGTCATATAGGTACATGGCAAGAGTAATAGTAATACATGTAATGTTACATGTTTCATTGATCTAGCCCGAATTTTGACACTTTATACATTGTAATTACTTGGTATGAAATATGATTTTAACTGATGAATCCACGATATGTTGTAAACTGCTTTTCATGTAAGTAAATCACTGACTTTTAATTATTTGTCACTACTGCAATAAAAGCTTGAACAATGAAAACATTGTCTCAAGAGTTGATATGTTATACCTACATGTAGAGATCCAACTTTCTGTTACAGTGTATGTGATATTAAATTACCATATGCGACTAAAACATGTCCTAGCTATAAGATGAAAATTTAAAATTTTAGGGTTGGAGAACTTTTTCTTCCTCCATGAAGAAAAGGAGAACTATATCCCTATTGGTTGGTGTCGAATATTTTTGGTCGTGATCTCCAAGCAGATGTTTCACTCCTACAGGTTTCACTCGTACAGCAAATGACATCACACCTCTGCTTGGAGATTACCTCCCACGTCTGACGTAGTGGTATGATCCAGTGTACACGTCACGAAACAGGATATCCCGGCAGGCCGTGCGAAAAGAAATGGCGTAGAGGCGTTAGAACTGTACGGTGATACTGTCGCGCCAAATCCGCCGCCATCGTCTCCAAATTAAAGATTTCAGTCATAAAGATTTACCAAAGCAAAGATAAGAGTATCAGTCATCATTCTTTACAATTGGAGAGAAAACTCTGAGGCAGATGAACTAGTTGAAGCAATTGTGTTCACGGGGAAATTAGGGCTTCGCCAAAATGGCCGGCGTTTTAGAAACTCATTTGCCGAGTGAAAGGTCATAGCATGTGGCGTTGATGCATTGGCTGTAGCTACAGTGAGAACTGTTTCAAGTTTCAACACAGCCACAACTTGGTTCTGGTTCCTGGATTACTTCTCAAGACTGACGATTATTTCTGGGGGACACCAGTGGTGCAGCCTACGGGCAACGGAACGCCTCCAGCCGAGAACAAGCCCACGTTACATCGTTGGACTGTGCGTTTGGTTCCGTGTGGGATTTTCCCTTATGGATGCGTGATTCGGTCGACTTCGATGAGTTCTACATCCGGGAAGATGCCCAGCTCCGATCGGCCGCGGCGTCGGGACCGAAGCGATTCGCATCAAGAGTCCGAGACCCGTCCCGACGGAGAACATGGCCGAAGCCAGAAGAGACGTGAGCGGGCGGAGAAGCAGCAACAGTCGGTCGTGGCGTCCGACTCGCTGGACGCCGAAGCCAAGGCCCGAAGGCGGAAGGAACGCAGCAAGGCGAAGCTTCAGAAGCGACGACACCGCCGTGCCAAGCGATCCAAGGAAAAACAGGAGCAGCAAACAAGAGAGGATGGAGAGAGAAAGGACTCGACTGACTCTCAGGTAAAACCATTGGTTGAATATGATGACATCAGTTCAAACTCAGCAGGATTTGATTCGGACGAAGGGGTTATCATCACCCCACCCCGTGTGGAAAAACCTCCAAGGCCCCCAGTCCTAGACCAGAGCATAGAGAATCTCATTCAAGATCAAGCACTGCCAGCAAAGAGGCAACAAGATTAAAAGAACGACATAAAGACTCTCCTAAAAACTAAAGACAAAGACAGGGAAAGAAGAAAAGAAAAGGAGAAACTTCAAAAAGCATTGAAAGCAAAGCAGTTAGCCAAGGAAAAACTAAGAACTGAAAAAGAGAAAGAGCAGAAGGAAAAAGAGACTAGATCTTCAACTACAACAAGTTCCAAAAGCAGGACTGACGAGAAGGAAAAAGAAAAAATGAGGGCGAAGATAAAACTAAAAGCTGAGAAAGAGAAAAGGCTTAAATTGGAGAAAGTCGAAAGGAAGCCAAAATCACCAGAGAAGAAGCCGGAATCGAAAAAGTCTCAAGAAGCAAAGAAAGAGAGGGAGAGAAGTCTTGAACATTCAAAAACAAGCAGCAGGCCAACTTCCAAAGTGTCAAAGGACAAAGATTCCAAGGAGACTTCTAAACCACAGGTTGTAAAGAAAGAACCGCGTGTGAAAGAATTGCCTAAAGCATTCAGGACTGATCCTAGCCCACCTAAGGAAATAGCTTCTCCATCTCAACGGTCATCGTCATTTTCGCCAAGTCCAACTCCGCCATCCAGGGGGCATCATAGTTACAGCAGGAGCCCCTCATATAGACATCGGTCCCCCAGTCCGTACGGCAGACGACATAGCCCGAACAGTCCCTACAGGAGGAGAAGCCAGAGTCCGTATGGCCATGGAAGGCGGACCCCCAGCCCGTACGCGTACGAGCGCAGCGGATACTACAGCCCGTACGGGCAGCACAGGAGAACGCCAAGTCCGTACGGGTACAGGTCCAGGAGTCCATACCATTCCCCATCACCTTACAACAGGAGGAGGTCACGTGAGAGGTCACCTTACACTCCAGATAGGAGGTAGGTACACAGCAGACTTAGATCTTCAAGCAGATGTTGGGAGACACAATATATTCTCAGGCTGCCTTGGTCAAGGGCAGATGACTGTCAAAAGGTCTGACAAAAAATACAATTGTTCACCCCAACATCTGCTTGGAGATAACAATCCGACTGCACTTCTGTGTGCTCATAATTTTTATTTACAGGAAGTTAAAACAGGGAATCCCCTTGTAGTTTTAAAATGAGGTGGATGGTAGTGAGTAGTACATGTACATTTGTATGCCGTGAGGTCTTGTAGTGCTTTTCATTCAGTTTTCAATGTCAGCAGTAGTCGAGTTGATAGTGTTAAAATGAGAAAGGTGCTCTTCGCACTCGAGAATAGACTTGCTAAAGCGGAGATAAAAATCAGGCATAATTTCAACTTCCTGTTTATATTATACCATCATGAATAGGCAGGCAAACATACATTTATGTAGTGAACTGTGAAAACCACATCATCAGATAATAAGTTGCATGTAGTGCTTTGTAAGACTAATTGATTTTGCAGTGTATACATGGAACTTACCACAATAACATTTACATTTACCACATTCAGGAGCAGCAATTCAAGCAGAGAAGCTTCAACAACCTACCCAGCATGCATCTGTTATCACTGTCAATATCAGCTTTGTTATGTCCTTGGTTGTACTGAACTGCAGTTTCTACCCATACAGGGAAAGCTAGACAACTAACTGTGTGAACTTGTTCTTTTTTATTCACAACAAGGCCACACCGACTTGATTTTATGGATGAAATCCTCTGAAGATGCCCAAACTAGTGCGCGCGGGCGAAAAAAAGAAAAATCCGGCCATAAATAAAAATGCTACTAAACCACAGTAATACAAAGCCGGTATTGTGAACTTGGCGCATTACATAGCGACGTATACGACAGGCCAGTACATGCTGGCTTTTTGGGAAGTTTATGAATCAACACTGTACATATGTACTGAGTTCTTGAGTCGTGGAGCTTCGGTAGCCTGGGTGCCGTCCTCCAGAGTTACCATCGGCTTCGTTGTCGCTTACCACCATGGACTACCCGGGCCTGAAGCTTTTTTTTTGAGATCAGGTGAAAATCAATGTGCGCGTGGATGTCATCCATAAAATTAAGTCGGTGTGGCCTAACTTAAACAAAGAGTTCAAGCAAGTTGAAAGAAATGGAAGAATTTCACTTTGTTTGAAATTCTCGAGTCCTTTTCTGATGAAAGCCATAGGTGGTCTTGAAAAAGTCTCAGACTAGTTCAGATAACTTTGTTCCTGTAAGGCATCATTGCATCATTATCATTGAAAGGTCAAGGTTATTTATTTTGTGAAGTCAAGGTCAAATTACTATAGCCTCAGAATGCTGTCCTGGTTTCATTGCTAGGAATGACCACATGCATTTCTGCTTTGTTTGACTTCCCAATAGCAGTTCCTTTTCAGTTTGAGCTAAATTCAAGCTCAATTGTCTGCTATTCAAACACTTGGTAAAATTTGCTAGGCCATTTGTTGTCAGGGATGGCAAGTAAGTTTCTTTTCCGTGTCCAATTGTGGAGAAAAAAATTTGGTCATTAACCCAAAATACCTGTGCCAGCATCACATTCATTGGGTACTTCATGCAATGATTTTTTATTCTGCTTTGTTGAATATGATTGTGAGTGATGAAGCTCGGAATACAAGGTGCATGTGCATTTCTAGACACCCAAAATTGACACTGGGCACAAAATTTTTCACTGTGGGTGCACTTGTACTTTTGTATACTTTCACAGTTAGAATTGACTGCCATCTACGGTAGATATTTATGAAGGGTTACGTATCAGATAGAAATGCTGGGTGAAAGAACAGGTATATACTTTGTGCACCATTAAAGTTACTATCATGCACTAGTATACAGCATAGTCTTGAACATTTAGAAGTATCCGAAAAAGTAATAAAACTTTTGTCTGCGACCAGCCCCAAATTTGGGGGTACGTACTTAAATCAGGATGCAAACTTTAAGGCGAAATGTAAGTTACTCATTCAAAATTTCAAAGCTAGGTTTATGAGTCTACATAGTCTATGTTGCTCATCCAAATTTTTTTCTGTGCACCTAAATTTTTAGGCAAGGTTCACCAGTGCAGCTATTTGAACAAAAATTCCTGAAACCCTGCTATAATTTATAACAGCCAATAGTGATCACTGGCTGACATCAGGTGCCACAGAACGTAGCCCAAGGGCTGCTATTATATTCTAGTAAAGGTGGAAAGAGTTTTCTTATCTTGATGTAGATGACCTCCTGATATATCAGGAAAGGAGAAAGTTGATGGTCTGCATTGTTTGGGTTAGGCTTCAGGGTATACGATTGATTGCTAGTTTTGTTTACATCAAGTATTGGTATGAGTATACAAATTATTGGTAGGCAAACCACCAAACTATCATCTGCCAGTCCTACTACTTAATCATGGCAATTACTATTAGCAAATGTGTGTAGGCATCTTTTTTGCCTAGGTTTAAGGTCAATGATAAAGGTAGCTTGTGCAAATTAGAAATTCAAGGACTTGGAGTTTTGGCATTTATTTGGTTTAACTTATCTGCTTGGCTTCGGTGGTGAACTTTCTTTGCTGTGGTTGGCTCATTTGCATGGGTTGATTGAGAGTTGCTCTTGTTAATGATTAGGTCACTAACTTACTCCTAAAAAGGATATGAACTCAAAGTATCTAACCATTGTATGACACTATAAGTATAACTTATAATACATAAATGCATAGAACATATTTCTTATACATGCTGTGATTTTGCATGGCAGAGCCTGGCTACAAATGTGGCATCATTCCCAACTTCTATGTAGTTCTAATGCACAAGTATTCTCTGATATTGAGTTTGCTTCTTGTCTTTGGAAACTTACTTAAGTGGGAGGGAGGGTCTGTCCATCTAAAGCACCATAACTTGTATGATTTTTAATATCCTATCCAGCTTTCCAACAACTTTTGTCACAAACAAGGAGAGAGCAGGCTGAAATAAGACCGGTATCCCTTAAAAATGAATACACAGTGTGTTTTTAAGACTATGAGGTCACTGTCAATATCCTATATCTTGCAGGACTGAGGCTGTGTGGAGCAGCGCCTCCCAGCAGGGAGGCCCTGAACTGCAGCCTCATGCTGCCAGCTCAGCTGGGAGAAGAGGACGTGATGTTCATGCTTACCAAAGGTGTGACACCACTCTTGAACATTGCCCCCTTCTCTCTGCCATCCCTGAGTTTACATTTTAGCTACATGCACTATAATGGTTTATACTTGAACTCTCATCTTAGGATAGCCATAGTCTTGTTTTGGGTTTGCTGGCCATGAGGTGTCTTACCTTTGGATCTCTTCTAAAACTTGTGGTTGTTTCTCTTGAGTCTGTTGGTGGCAGTGTAGTCTGGAAGAAGTCTCTCTCTCTCTCTCTCTCTCTTTCTCCCCCCTCTCTCTCTTTTACTCTCACTCACTCTCTCTTACCAGAGCTTAAGTGTTCTTAGTCTTAGTCCTAGTACGTTCCTCCTTTTGTTTGTTGAGGGCAAAGTTCACATTCCTCATCTAGTAAAACACCTTCAAGCTATGGTCATATGGAGCTGTATTGAGCTGTGTACAGGGATAGTATTGAAACCTAATGCTTTCTGTTGTATTTTTTTTAGCTTTCTTTTTTTTTTGCTTTTAGGTCTTGTGAATTCTGTATGCTGGTAGTACTTAGCACTGTTTAGTGGCCTTGTTGATAAAGTTGTTTCCTGTTTCCCGACCGGCCCTAGAAAGAAGTGCTGACTCTAGCCTTTTTGTGGGTGGACCCCTGCAAGGGACATAATTTTTGTCAAGCTGATCGACATTTTCTAGCTCTTTGATCTGACTCCTGAGTGATAAAACAGTTTTCGAACATTGACATTGAAACGACAAGTGTCCTCATGCAAGTTTTACTTTGTTAAACTGTATTTTATAGGATCATAAGTTGGATCACTAGAGATTGCCAAAGTTTCAATAAAGAAAGAAAAAAAAGAAATACCTACCCACCTACCGACCCTAAGTTTTTCAAGAATGAAACAGGAAACACAACGGCCTTACCACAAGAAGTTTGGGACAGTTACCTGGGCTGTTGGATTGAGTCCCTCTATCTTGTAACAGTACCTATTTTTGTGTCTTACATGTAGCAGTGTAACCAATTTTAGTAACCTCCAGGCATCAAATTAGACAATGGACGATAAAGATTTGCCTATACACTACTAGTATTTCACTGCCAGTAATGAGAATGTGGTGTTATTTCTTATATTCATGTGATGTAAGCATGTAATTTGACTTGTACCTCACATCTTTTGTGATGTTGTTTTGACATTTTAACTGTATGTACTTAGATAGGACAGGTAAAGGTTAAGTAAAAGAAAAGTCATGGTGTTGTGAAGATTGCCTGATGTACAGTCAACCATTAATCTCCTGTAATGTGAATCATGGTTACTGCATTTGTACCTTCAGCCAATCAGGCTTGACTCTCCTGTGATGTGTTTTGCCATCAGCCAATCAGGTTTGACTGTCCTGTGATGTGTTTTGCCATCAGCCAATCAGGTTTGACTGTCCTGTGATGTGATTTGCCATCAGCCAATCAGACTTGTACTGATGATGATTGTTTTCTCCCTACTGTGTTCAGGTACATGGAAGTCAGTCCACCTTTGTTGTCATGGAGTCCATGTTGGTATGACCATGACAGGTAGATAACACAGCATGTGTACTAACAGACGTACTCATCATGGATTGCATCAGGAAATGACAGCACTTTGCAGAAAAAAAGTTTATTTCTCTTTCATGAAGCAGAGCTCAGCAGTGAATAGTCTTTCTAGTTTTGAAACATGAACAAGCTTTTTATCCAGAAGTGTTGTGCCGCAAACAATAAACCTTTTAGTCTCACTGATTTCAGAAGCAGTTGCCCTGTTAGCATGACATTGCTTGTGTGATATGAAAAATTGGTGGATGTTTTTTTAAATGCTAACCCTATACATATACTTACCAACATTGCATTGTTTACAGAGTAGGTATGACAGGCAGACTGCTGACTAATTATCTTTTGAATCCATTTACCACAGAATATGTCAATACTGCGTTGAGTATTGTTATACTTTTGGATTGAGTATCTTATGCACAACTGGTTCCTGAATTTTGATTCTCATGAAAATGTTCCACTTAATGTCAAGTAGGTTTCCAATGGAATAGCATGCGAGCAATGGTGAAATTGACATTCAAGTCCTTTGAGAGAAAGAAAGGCTTGAAATTTGTTTGTGCTCAGCTATGAAATGTCTTATTTGCTATGCATGTTTCTGTAAGTTTAATCTGTGGTAGCCGCTTTATGAAATTCTATGGTCCCTTTTCTGTTTTGCAGACGGAAGAGAAAACACTCCAGAAGCCGCAGTCCGTACTACAAGGACTCGCACGGTCGTTCTCATCGCTCCAGAAGCCGTTCCCGGCGCTCCCACAGCCGGTCTCGCCGCCGTTCGGGCAGCCGGTCGCGCCGGCGGTCCTCTAGCTTCTCCCCACGGAGCTTCCTGAAGAGCGAGCAGCTGGACAAAACGCGGGCCATGTTCGCGGGAAGTCTGGCTGCCGAACTCCAAAAACACACCAAGTTCCGAAAAGACGAGAAAGCCCGCGAGTCCAAACAGGGAGCCGTCAAGAAAGAAAAGTCGCAGCCCTCAAACGAGACTGTCGTCAAGGACGAACAAGAAGACGTAGAGAGCTCCAAGGCGGGAAGTGAGAGTACTTCCCAAGTCTCCACTCCTTTAAGTGTCCGACAGGAGGTGAAGAAGGAACCCAAGACGCCGCCTGAGCCTGAACTGACTCCTTCCGAGCCGCCGAAGGCTCAAGAACCAAGGACTCCGCCCACACCTAAAGTGGACACCCCTCCCCCACCCCCGTCTCCGGAACATCCCCCGGAGCCCCCCATGCCCACCCTTCCTCCCCTACCTCTCCCACAAGTGGTGCCTCTAGAAGAAGACGAGTTTGACAGTCCCATCATAGAACCACGGAAGATAAAAGTGGAGGAAAAACCGAAGAGACTGACAGACTTGCCCCTGCCTCCTGACGTGACCACACCTCCGGACGAAGAGGAACCCTTCCCGAGAGACAGAAAGCCTAGGACCAAACCAAAGTGGGTACTTACTTATTTCAGCTCTCTTACAGTATGTACTACATGTAGTACCATATTACATGTACTACATACTGTTGTGTAGTCTTCCTTGTGCTTGCACAAAAAACACAACCAGGAGTGTTGCCTTCTTCTTACACTTTTGTTCTGGAGGTACTCTTCAAATTCAATCTCCAAATTCTTGAATTTCGGTAAATTTTGTTTAAACTCTAAGCTCTCTTTGCATGGGAAATGGAAAGTTGTCAAAATCAGTGTGACCAAAAGTAAGCATTGCAATTGTAAAATGTTGGTTGTCGTTTAATGTGAAGGCACAGATATGATCTTTTTTACTACAGTGATAGAAACAAAAAAACATTTAGGTTCCATGCATGTGTATGTATGCATGTGTAAAATGTTCGACTTTATCTATAAGAGCCAAGTTGTGTGACACTAAAAATTACACTAGCTTTGAACAATATCATTACGGAACAATTAAGACACTTTTGTTTTCAGTAGATTTGGGAATTTTTTCTGTTGTGTCTTGCCTTGGTATTTCTCATTATCATCAGCCATTTCATTTTCATTGTCACACACACAACAATTCTAAAGTATTGAAGATACAACACTATAAGAGATAAAGCCAATAAAGGAAAGGGGCAATGGGAGACTAAATGTAGGAAGTGGATTGTGGAATATCTTTAAAATGTTGTAGAACATTTGAAAGAACATTCATAAACACTGGACAATTCCTGCTTGGCCAAGATATAGTAGGAAAATGAATTGAAAACCATAGAAGAAACTCAAGTACATCATGGTACTATGTGAAGAAGAGACTTGATGATGTGGTATGTTTGCTGATCAAGCCTTTGGGAGCAGCAAACAGCTTTTTTTCACAAAGTTTGGAGGAACCCACTGCCAGGTCATTATGGCACATGATGCACACTCAGTCCAGAGGAAATACGTCTCTTCAGTCTTCCATCTTGCCCACTTTCCTCATCCAGATGTTTGTTTTCACAAAGAGTTTGCCATCCCTCAACTGTACTTTCCTTGTCTCCTTCCGTATCAACCTTGGCGTTTCGTCACCTTTGCTGTTTTGTGAACATTCTACATTGCAAGAACTGTTTTTCATATTTCTTCTCTTTCCGTACACCAACATGGTTTCCACATCTGAGCTTGCCGAAAGCTGTTGAAGCCTTGCTTCTGTGTGAAGGTTTTTCCCTGATGTGTAACAATATGAATGTCTGCTTCCCGATGTCTTCTACTCTAGTTCCCGCCGCCAGTATCAGGAAGAGCGAACCGGTTCCATCAAGATTCCTAAGTAAGTGGGACCACCACTAGTCCGTGCGACGTATGCCTCCCCATAATTATACTTGTATGCCTCCACATAGTACTACTTGTACGCCTCCCCATAGTACTACTTGTATGCCTCCCCATAGTACTACTTTTCCTCTCATCAGTTTTCCCCATAGATCTGCATGAAGTCCAGTCTCAGATACATAATACAAACAACATAATAAAGAAGTGATACTAATCTTTAAGTAAATGTGAAGTTTGAGTTCATTTACAGGTCACTTTTCAAGTGTTCAAGTTGATAGTTTTTTGCTGTTTATGTTACCAGTAGGAAGGATCCTGTAGTATTTCTCACTTCTTGATAGCTGTTTGGTTTGGTACTGTGTTTGGTTTGGTACAGTACAAGTTTATAGTTCATGATATTTTAGGCCCCGTTCTCAATTCAAAATCTGTTTCGGTTTGGCCATAAACTGAAATGATACGGAATTACATTTTGCATCTGCGATTCAAAACTTGCACCCTCGCTGGAAACGGTTCATGTATACCGCAATTTTGTTGAACACTTCCTGGTTCTGCCTAGCCTGGGAGCCAGACTCGTAAGGCAGTGGACGGAGAGTTTACGAGTGTGCGTGGTAGCCCGTCCCCGACTCGTGCCCGACACTATCCGCTTTGCCCTGAATGTGATTGGATACACAAGCCCCCTAGGTTGAACAATACCTGGTATCCACTCAATTGGATTTGAAACAAAATCATAACGCGTGGTCAATGAATATTCTTCAGACAGGGCTCGAAATTAAAAGTGGTCCAATGGCCACTGACCTCTAAAATTTAGGCTGGGACAACTAAAAAGAAATTTGGGACATTTTTGGGACAATAGAAAAATTATCAACATCAGAATGTCAGCCCTTCTTTTGTTTATCAGGCACAAGTCCAGGCTTTTTTTATCCAGAAAAATCCCGTCTACTCTGAAATTATAGTGCGCCTGGGAGTGAACATAAGCAAAAAAATAAAGTTGACTTCAAGTTGAAGTCTTACAGTACTTCTCAAAAAACAGATTGGGACAGTTCAACCTCACTTTGGGACGGTTGAAATTTATTTTCGGGACAGTGCTGGGACAATAGGAAGAAAAGTTAATTTTGAGGCCTGTTCAGAGCTGGATGTATGAAGTGTGAAAACGCAGTGTTTTCTGTCCTGATGTATCTGGCTGTGTTTTTTCTACCCCAGGGTGGCAGCGTCGCGAGCCAGCACCAGGAACAAAGGCATGGTGGAGTGGGGGGAACGCTGTGTGGACGTGTTCGAGATCCTGTCTCAAGTCGGAGAAGGCACCTACGGACAGGTCTACAAGGCTAAAGACAAGCAGACAAGTCAGTGGGACCTATTCTTGAAACCTTATAATTGTTATGTTTACTGAAGGAAAACATTGTTTTTACTCAGTTTCTTCTTCCTCCTCTTCTGCTCCAAACACTAACCTCTGACCTGACCACTGACATGATTTGTTGACGCCTGTCACCATGGTGACTGGTGTTGGGTTACATAATGTTGCAATTTCATGATCTGCTCTGCTCCTGTCACCATATACTAGTAGTACATGTGTGTTTGAGTAAGAATTAACAGAGCAGACCATGTCCGAAGGTAAACATTATGCATTTGCTTTGCAAAGGTTACTTCTCTAGCTCTACTTTGTTTTTACAACTCACTTTTGTAAATGTTATAATAGATGATAGCTTGTTACTGTTTGTGTCACCAAAAAAAAATTGTAACAAAAACAGGGATAGACCTGTAGAGAATGTGAAAAAATACATCAATCAAGTTAGTCAAAAGACAGGCATACAAGCCAGGGAAAATTCTGCAGATGCTATTAGTAATAATATATTTGTGACAGTACATTGCGCATTTGCACATCATCACAGAGAAAAAGTTTGTCACCACTCAAATATCGAAAATTGATATTTCAACTGCCATTTTATGATGAGGCCATCTTTGTCATTTGGCCCCTTTCTTTCAAGACTGAGAACATTTCAAGACGTCTTAGACAATGGATACACCAACTGGCAACTACTAACCTCCCTGCTTCAATAACATTTTGGCAGCAAATATGTAATTGGATACAGGGTTAGGCAGCAGGGAGGAGGTTAACTTCAGCTGTTTTTTAGCTTAATGATAAGGTTATTGAGTTGAAGTTCAAAGTGACTTTGTTTTTTGATGTCCTCTGTTGGAACTTTTGTGATGTACAGAGGAAGTGGTTGCCCTGAAGAAAGTGCGACTGGACAACGAGAAAGAAGGCTTCCCGATCACCGCTGTACGAGAGATCAAGATCCTGAGACAGCTCAGTCACAGAAGTATTGTCAACCTGAAGGAGATAGTCACAGACAAGTCTGATGCCCTGGACTTCAGAAAAGACAAAGGTTTGCACTGCCTTTTCTTTACTGAAAGATTGTTTCTTTAGTTAAGATTGCTGCAACAATGACGTTTTTTCATTCTTATTAAAGACGAATAAAGTCGAAATTGGTCGAATTCCGTCTCATCGCTGTCATTTTCCCAACGGTACGAATAGTGACATTCTTACACTAAGTGTGACAAATACAACCTGTGAGAAAGATGGGGAAAAACAGAATTGTAACAACAAATTGTATACATGTAGTATTCACGTAGAATCATACAGTTCATTGTCATTGTACTGGAGAAAGTCCACTGGCTCTATTTGAGAAGTACGATGAACAATGGAACAGAGCTATACGGTACAATACAGTAATAGGAAACAGACAACTACTGTCTGGAAAATACTTATCTTCTACTATGCTTGCTATTATGAGGTTTATGAGGCAGTGGATAATGAATAGTCCCACGTTCTGCATAATAAGTGGGTATAAAAATGTGATCTTAGAAGGAAAACAATCTTTTGGTGATCTTTTAGGTGATAAAAGGATGACTACTAGTATGCATGCTAATCTTCCTGCTTTCTGTAGGTGCTTTCTACTTGGTGTTTGAGTACGTAGACCACGATCTGATGGGCCTGCTGGAGTCTGGGCTGGTCCAGTTTAATGAGGACCAGATCAAGTCCATGATGAAGCAGCTCATGCAGGGGCTGGACTACTGCCACAAGAAGAACTTCCTCCACAGAGATATCAAGTGCTCCAACATCCTCATCAACAACAGGTACAGATATTTATTGCCTTCGTTAGAAGGCTATAAAATCAGTTGGCTTTAGTGTGGGAGACTGTTGATTTAGCGGCATAATTCTTGAAGGCATGGTTCAACGTTCATAATTTTTGGCAGGCAGGTTACCGTTGGGGATACGAAGGTCAGGTCCAAGTATGAGCTTTGTGGGGGTTCGATGTCAGTGCAGTGGACCTTTTGTGTTTGTTGCTAGTTAACAGGACAAGACATGATTATATTTAGTCAGCAACAAAAGGTGGACAACAGTCAAATAAAATCTGGTGCATCAAAATAAAAGCATGTCCATAAATCAAAGTCATCATAACGTTCCAATGTCAACACAATAAAGTCAGTAAATATGCTACAAGGAGTGTTTTTGTCAAATGTGGTGTACTAACCAAGATATTTTTTCACCATTAGATGGCAAGTGAAACTGGCTGACTTTGGATTGGCCCGACTCTACCATGCAGAGGAGGCGTAAGTAGATTTCTATTACATGCCCCTTGTATAGTTATGTCATTTTGTTAATACTGAAACACAAACTCTTAGTTTGGTTATCTACGGAGAAAAACCCCAAGGAAGTTGTCCCTAACTGAGGTTTTTCTTACCCCAGTTGTGAAGTTTGAATTTATCAAAAGCTGTGACAACCGCAACAGTTGTGAATATTATGGGTTATACTGGCACTTTGCTGATAACATTGCGTTGAACATTGTGCGTTATATATGTCCGCATTAGGTTTAGAATCTCAGATTTCTTGTTTTAGACAGTGCAACCTTTCCAAGCATTCATGGAAACAAGTGATCAGTTGTATATCAAAATTTTAAAACAATGGTGTAAGAATTGCTTTCCTTGTTACAGACGTCCCTACACCAACAAGGTTATAACACTGTGGTATCGGCCTCCTGAGTTACTATTGGGAGAGGAGCAGTATGGTCCAGCCATTGATATCTGGAGCTGTGGGTAGGTACACCTCTGCCGACATTCAGTGTTTGTAATGTGCAAAATAGTGAAGACTGTACATCACTTTTTCTTCATTTGCTGTGGCGTAACAGAAGAGTGTTTGGCTCAGACCCAAGAGGTCCCGGGCTCCAATCCTGCCTTATGCCACAAATCTTGTGCCGTTGGGAAATCTACTTTCCACAACTTTCCTCACCTCACTTAGGTGTAAATGAGTACCTAGCTTTGGTTAGGAACATCCCTAGGATAGGACGTTAAATGGAGGCCGCGTGTATGGGAGAGCCACTCCCCACACGCGTTTAAGAACCCACCACACTTATTGAAAAGAGAATAGGTCCTTCCCGGTGTGAGTGGTGCAAACCTTACAGTCTGGTCTTGGGAAGATTGTACCTATATGTGTATATGTACAAAACTGGTGCGTTACGCCTAAAAAGGCGGTTTACCGGTTATACAAAACAAACAAACAAACAATCAACAGAAACAGAACATGCTGTAGTCGTTTCAAACAGTAGTTTTGAGTATAATTATAAACCTGAAATATCAACTAGCAAGCAAGCAGGATGAGTAAAAGCATAATTCTCTAAGCCCTTCTAAACTATGCTTCTGAATAATGTGCTAGTATTATGCACTAGTAGTATCTGCAGAAGAATTTGACTGACCAAAGAAATGTGTTGTAACAGGTGCATTCTGGGAGAGCTGTTTACCAGGAAGCCCATTTTCCAGGCCAATCAGGAGCCAGCTCAGTTGGAGCTCATCAGGTTTGAAGTCTTCTATAAGATGTTCACAAACACACACACACACACACACACACACACACACATTCCAGAGTTGTGTCTTCCCTTTCATTTATTTAATGTTGATCAAACATCCACCGAAAACCGTGAAAAACATAGGGTTTTGCGCAGGCGCACTTTATTCTGCCGACGTGCTGTCCTCCGTAGCGTTAAGATTATGTGTCCTGACCTTGTATTTGTAATGTGTGTCCACAGTCGTATCTGTGGAGCTCCCTGCCCGGCTGTGTGGCCTGATGTCATCAAGCTGCCCTACTTCCACACCATCAAACCCAAGAAACAGTACCGCAGGAGGCTGAGGGAGGAGTTCGCTTAGTAAGTGCACTGGGGATCCAGATCTATATTGCATGTGAACAAACCACCTTAAGCCATTGTTTTTGCCTCAAAATGGTACTCAAGAGGTTGTGTTAACCTTCACCATGGTCAGGTAGTCATTTGGCACCAATTTGGGGTTAGGTAGCAAGGAGAAGGTTCAACTTTCAGGCTGTTGATAGGAGATTGCAAAGTTGTGGGCTCTCTTACTGGAGCATATTTCTAAGGAGGAAGTGTCCCAGATTTTTTATTTTATCATGCTGTCCACATAGTTTACTATAGTCTTAACAGTTTTAACAGTTTCAGTAATCTCCAAAAAGGACCATAGCCGTTTGCTAGTAGATAGTAGAAAAGGTAGATCAGGATTCAAACCCTGGTCCTTTGATCCAGAACTTCAACTAATAAAACCTGTTCTTGGATCTGCACAGCTTCCCTACCCCGGCCTTGGACCTGATGGATCACATGTTGACCCTCGACCCTTCCAAGAGATGCACGGCAGACCAAGCATTGGAGTCGTCCTGGCTGAAGGGAGTTGATGTTGACAGGGGACTAACACAAGAGTACGTACCAAACATTTCATCAGCGTATAGTGGACTTAAGTTACTTTTGCCTACAATTTTGAAGATAAAAACTACAAGGTCGAAAGATGATAGCTGACATAGTAAGAGTTTTAGCCTGTGACAATTCGTTCAGACTTTTCTTTGTGGGAGGGGTGCACCACTTTTTACATTTCTACATTTCATTAAAGGTCATGTTTCCATATTAAGGTATGATACGCTGTCGGTAGTTTTCGAATGTTGTGGCGGAAAAGATACACAACGGACAAAACTCGGATGTAATGTTGACCAAACATCCAGGGGCCGTGGTTTTGCGCAGGCAGGGTGCAACATTCTATATTTTCCTCTAGTATTTCAAAGTGGAAGGTAGCACACTTTTTAAACACAATCATGATGTAGTGGCCAGCTTGAATTTGATTACCATTGTTGTTCAAGATAGAGGACATTCCAAGTGTATCTGGTTATTCGAAATGAAATGAATAATGTGCTAAATTATGTTGTTAATGCAGGCTCCCTACTTGGCAAGACTGTCACGAGTTGTGGAGCAAGAAGCGACGACGCAACCGGGACGGCCGCATGGAGGAGCCTGTTCTCCAGGCTAAGCAGCAGCGGCTGGACCTGGGGATCGGAGCCGAGGGTTCCGGTCAGAAGTCGGGCTCGTCGGAGGGCCGGGGGAGCGCCCAGGGCGCAGACAGCAGCCGCAGGGCCAAGCCGCAGGCCGGAGCCGAGGCCGCCACGACCACGACGGCAGATCCCACCGTAAGTCAGGCTCAGCTGGTGGGTCTCCTGAAACTGCTGCAGAACCAGCCGACCATCAACGTAAGCCAGTTAGCCCAGTTTCTAGGTGTGAAGCTTGACCCTTCCACCTCCCTCTTGATAGACAACCTCCATAAGCAGCTGCTGCTCGCTGCAGCCATACAGCAGGCCCAGCCCAGTGGGGGAGGGGACGTGGTGGGGAAGGCTCGTTCAGACGCCCTGGGAGCGCGACTAGGCACCCCGGGGGCTAAACCCAAAACTCCAATCACGCCCAAAGCTGCAGTGGCACCCCCTCTGCCTCAGGCGCCCACAATTCCCTCCCAAACACAGCCTCCCAGTTTGTCCGCCGTTCCCCCACAGGCTGCAGGCATGGCTTCAGCGGCAGTAGGTAGCGTACCGCAGGCCCCCGCCCCGGGGGGTAAAGTCCTGCCCCACGGGGATACCGACATGCGGGGTCCGGGGGGCACAGAGAACCCGTCCTCCTCCACAGCGGGAGTAAAGGCTGCCCTTATCCAACTGCTACAGCAGCAGCAGGCCTCACAGAGTGGCGGGCAGACAGGCACGCCCGGGAGCATGTCTGGGTCTAGTGTGGGGAGTAGTGGGCAGGTAGGGTTACAACAGGAAACAGTCACCAGCCAGGCTATACTAGACGCGCTAAGTCAGGACTCTGTGTTCTCCACCTCTGGCCAACCCAGCGGCAGCAAGCCCATGGCACCCAGCCAGTCCGGGCAGGGGAGGGGAGGGGGGCAGGGGTACGGTTCGGGTGGTGCGTTTGTTGGGGATGTAGACTACAGGATGGCGGGGAGAGTCGTCGGTGCGGTGAGCTCGACGGGAGACGTCCCGATGGCTGGTGGGGCGAGAGGCACTTCGGCGAGCTATGCAACTGCGAGTGGGAGTGGCTACTCTGGGACCAGCTACCAGCAACAACAACCTTCTCCAGACAGCACCCAGCCAGGCAGACCTAGTGGGCAGCCCCCCTACAATCCTTCTTCCTCCTATGGAGCATGGCAATGAAGACTGGTAGAATATAAAGTACGTATAGACCAGGTGGTAACGGGGGCTGATGCATGGACTGCTTCAGAAGTGGATGAGTTTCCTGGTTGTCTATGGGATATCTCATATTCTTGTGACCAAATGATCGCCTATCCACTCAAGACGTAAAATATTTCAAGTTTATGTTGATGCTGAAAGATGTCTAAATGTTTCTTCTTCGACATTTAGTTTTTTTCCTTTTCACTTTCTGCTTAATTTTTGGGGTTAGGGGAAAAAATGGGGAAAAATAATGTCTTGTTATGGAATTTGTAGTGGATGAAGGCTTTGTAATGTTTGATATCTCTAGATGTTGTGCAATTGTTGAGGAATTATTGAATCGGAGTCAACACGATTAATCCATAGATGTGCTTGACAGTTGTCTCTCTTCTACAGACTGGAGGTATTAATTTCAAAGGTTAAACTCTGTGACAGTGACATATTTTTTCTGTCCTTTTTTTGCTTAAAAATGTGGTCCTAACATATGCTGCTGTCAACAAGTGTTGGTTGGTTGGGGGAGGGGGTACATCAGAATAGTATAGCTGTCCTGCAAACTTTCAAGTTCATACACTACTCACATGCAACAGACTTAGTCAATTTCCTTATCTTGAATATAATGTAGTAGTTTACAAATCAGCATTAACTTTGATGTCGTAGGCACATTACTGACAATATATAGCTTACACGTAGGCTCCTTATTGCACTGAAATTTTCTTTAAAATTGTAGAATCTATTACATTTGAATCTGAAATGTAATTGTACAGGACTGCAGTAATCATTATTGGATGTAGGTGGTATTCGCTGGACTTGCTGCTTTGGAAGTCCTCTCACTAATATATGTACCGTTCCCATATTATGGTTCAATAAAACATAGTGATGTATATCACGACTGAACTTTGTAACTTTGATAGTTTGACGCCACAGCTTTTCAGATCTAATCATCTCTGAAGTTTTTTTTTAGAGAGAAAGAAGAAGTAAGGGTGAGTCTAAACTTTCCTGTCTTTATTCAAACATTTTGTACTTCCCTCTCCAGTTAGCTGATTGGTTGTCTACATGTGCCTTGTCATTGGCTGATGCCAATGTTCTTAATTTCATTATAATCTGACAAGACTTTTGCCACCTGTTAACCCTACATGTGTTACTAACATGCAATGTTAAAGAATAGCAACAGTTTGGAAATTATTATAAATAGGGAACCTACATTTGGCCCCATTAATTATAACATAAAATTGATGTAGCATCCTAAGCAACGAGGGCAACATTCTTTTCCTCCTAACAGTGATGCCAATTTTCAGAGGCATTCTCAAAAAGTGAGCTAATACGAACTGTGTCGATGTCGGAAGAGCATATCTTTAGTCTTCAATACGTGTTGTTTAAATTATTAGCATATGTACAATCCACTGTATGTAGCAATTTTAGTGTTAGTACTTTTGTAGGTGTATTTTGATACAGGACAATTAAGATCCAGTGTCCCAGTGAAAAGTCCCTATACCTTCATGAGGACGCCTTTTTACTGTTGAAAATCACTGTCAACAGTTTCTACGTTTGTGTATAGCTACGTCTGTACATTTTCACAATTGTAATACTGTGTGTGAGAAGCCGTTTCTTTATACATGTATATGATTTTACAATAACGCATTGGTAGTACTGGTTGAGACTTGTACATGTACACAGCTACCAGCAGTCGTTGTTGCGAAATTAAGTCGGGAAAATGAAGACCGCACCGCGGATCCACTAAAGGAAGCCCCGGTTTGAAGATCAGCATTGATGGGTGCACAAGAAAGAAGAGGATCTACATGTATTTGTTCTATAATGAAGAAATGAGTGACTCTCTACCTCGAGTGCAAAATTCTGAGGAGGATTTATATGCTGATGAACTTTTCAAGTTTGCTTCAAAGTGTCGTCCGAAGACATCTGTAGCTGTTCATTTGGCAGCAGGACGGAATCTTGGAACGTCAAGAGGAGACAACTTGGTGTTATCATCTACCAGGTACGTCTATTAAAGTAGAGGGACTGGGGAATTTGAAGTGAGGTTTAGCATACGCCACTTGGACATAAATTGAAATTCGGTAATAGATGAGGCGACATCGTTTGATGACAAGGGAGCGAAAGTCTCAAGATTTTAGAGGGCAGGGTTCTAATTGATAAATAATCCCGTTCTCAATAACGTAGTTGAGAAGGATTCATACGCCTGTGGATTGTCTGCTGTATCCACGCACCAAACTTCGGGACGTGTGACGTCGTTAGTGGGTCAAAGGTTACCGTAAGTCGATACCTGCCGCCGTCCCGGTTTAAAAAGTGGGTCGGTGGGCCATGACGTGCATTGCCTCCTTTACGCATCTAGTAGTCAATTTGTCCGGTTCCAAATCAAGATTCATACTTTATTTAAAGTAACAACAAGAAGTGTGGTACTTCCTGGGCAGTCCAGATTTCACCTCCGTGTTCTAGAGCGTGCGCGCTTTTTTTAGATAAATTTGTTCAGATCGCTTTTTTTTTTATAATTCCATAATGGGAAGATAACTTTGGCCGTAAAGATTTGCCACGTATGGCTATTTCTTGCAGGAAGCTTATGTAGAGCTGGACGTTTCTGGAACCTCCAATCTGTACGCTCGATTGGGAGGGGGGATAGTGTACGACCATGACCTTTAACCTTATCCATCCAAACAAACCATACTGTATTATACTGAAGGGAAACACGTGCATACACACAAATCGATGTAGGTAATGGCGTGCTGAATGTATGAAGTGAATCGTATGTTCGCTTAGTAATAGTTTCAGGAAAATCTACATTCTATAGTGGCGTAAATACAGTACAAGAAAAGCCTAGTAATATATATTATTTCGGAGGGGGGGGGGTCCATGAGTGCTTTTGTGTCGACTGAGTGCTGTGTGTGTGTAGTTGTCAATCCTTTGTCAACTGTCAGGTTAACGTTTCACTTGACCTTTTGACTCCCGTTCCTTAATTAAGTCGCATTATAACACTTATAGTGCTATTATACACCATCCGCTGACAGAAAATTGCTCGAAGAAAAACGACTATTGATTCATACGAGAATACAACACACTGACACCTTGCATAAACTTGGCCAAAGTCAAAAGGCCATCACAACGGTAATTTTAATTTGACAGTAATGTACAGAAGGCGTTGGGTGTTGTCGGAATCTTTCAAAACGACAGTGAATATACTAGTACATTAATGGGTTAAATAAACGTCTGTTTCCCGACACCACTGCAACTGACAAGGAACTTTTAAATTTTGGTAGTCGAAATCTTACAAGGAACACCAAAACCTAACCAATTGTCAAGACGTTATCAGGTTGGCTGGGCATTCATTTAGTCAGTAATTTTTTTAGCTGATATACTGTTTAAAGTAGAAAAAAACGTTTTCCTTGCGCCCTTGTAGGATTCGGACTTTTTGCGTTATAAAAAGAGGAAATATTCGTGGCGTAATAAATGAATTATAAATATTATATATTAATATAATATCACTCCAACGAAAGTCGCCAGGTGGCGTACGTAATATGTCTCGCTGGCATACACATAAATTACGAGTTTTCCAAGAACGATAGCTTTTCCGGTATCTGGATGGTGGATTGGACCAGGGTGAACCGAAAAGGGCACAAATAACAGGTTGAGCTGATAACAACAGTCAAACGTCGGCATTGCGTGGTGTTGTCAGCCACACATAGCCGTTAGTCCATGTCGATTTGATTATATGGATGACATCCGCGCGCGCATGGATTTTCGGCCGTTTCCAAAAAAAAAAGTTTTCAACCATACTGTAAATCGTACAAAACAGTTGCAAAATGAGCAAAAATATACCGTAAGTTACAAAAAAAAACCATACCAATGTCGTAGAATGCCTAAATCAAACGAAAAAAGACGAAATTGTAAAGAAATGAACTTGAAGACTAGACTATTCGCCAAACCATATTCATATTCCCATTTGTACAACCCTCATGACCACGTAGATTTCATAATGAAAACACCTTTTTTTTGTGCAAAACTTTTTTTTATTCGCACGCGCGCATCAGTTTTGGGGTTCCCGGAGGATGTCATCCATGTAATGAAATCAACATGGCCTTATCGGTAACATACATGTATGGTCTTACCGCGCCCTCAAAGGGTGGTAGAGACGACACCATCAGCATTATATCGCGTAATGATAACTTCCAGGGACGGAAGTATTGTCTTGGGTGGCACAACTATGACCTTGTGTTTCTGCCCAGACGGTACAGGTTGACAGCACGTGGGTTTGAGTGACAGGTCAAAAGGTCAGACACAGGAAATGGGGTGAACTTGAAGTCACGAAAGCCCGAAATACATGCACCTTCCTGAAGTATCCGCTTTCTTCTGTTAAATTGGGAACGGTCTACTTCTGATGGTCAAAAGTTTTCGGAGTCGTAAAGTTAATGCGAGTACCGTGAGTAGGTCTACAGCGTCATAGGGTTGTTCAGCTACTTCCCAAAGACGTTACGTCAGAATGAAACAATTTACCACAGACTGAGAATACAAACGCATATAAGATACTTGTAGCTGTACCTATATCTTCACTGGAAGATCTAGAGTCGGTGACACCAATGGTGCGAATACGCAATATAGGCCCATCCCATAGCTCCGCCCACCTCCGTCAAAACGTAGAAATGCAATTTTTTTTACGGATATGTAGTCGTTCTTTCATTGGTCCAACCACTAATTGCCATGAACTGCTAATTGTCTTGGACAGTCAGGATCTTCCAATGAAACGTGTAATCTCAGGGAAGTCTGAGAGATCAGCGTCAGGGTTTAGTAGAAGTACAGTGACATTTTCCATTATACTTAGATTTGAAATGAGCAGATGGAAGCCTAATCCCGCACACATAGATGTTGTCACCAATGTATTGCAATGGCACTGTAAAATCACTGGACACGGACTTGTTTTAAAAACAAGAACCAGGATACCGATGTAGTCTTTTAACCCTTGTCCTGCGGAGCACAACAATTGATGTTCTGCACATACAGCACCACCATGTTCACGTCCGGGTACGGAAGTTTTGTTTTGGGTGGCTGAGCTGTGGGTTTGTGCATCTGTTTGTCTTGTCCAGATAAATTAGGTTGACAGAAGGTGGGTGGGGGGAAGTCATATTTTCAGGCAGAATGGCAGGAGATAAAGAAGTGCAGACACAGGAAATGGAGTGAGCTTGAAAGTAGGTTGACAGCACGAGGATAGAAGATTGACAGGTCAAAAGGCCAGACACAGGAAATGAAGTGAGACGTAAAGGACACTTGTTGGAAGCACTTGCTGTCTCATGGGTAACCGATCTCCAGAACGTCTTTGGGTTAACCGAAGAAGGGCAAAAATCACGAATAGATTCTACTGTTTTGGCCTGTGGCGGCGACTAAAATGAAAGTGTTATGCCGGGAAAGTAATTACTCTCCAATCAAAGATCATAATAGGGACGATATAAAAAAACATTTGATGTAGAGCTCTAGTTTTCAATCAGGCGACAGGAAATGCCTAGGGAAAAAAATTAGGGTCAGTAAGTCGGGATTATCTTTATTCGGTTGACAGAAGGTGGGTGGGGGAAGTCATATTTTCAGGCAAAATGACAGGAGATAAAAAGTTCGTACACAGGAAATGGGGTGAACTTGAAAGTAGGTTGACAGCACGAGGATAGGAGAAGATTGACAGGAGGTCAAAAAGGCCAGACACAGGAAATGTAGTGAGCGTGAAGGTCACAAAAACCCGCAATACTGCCCGGAAGTCTGAAATCGCCGATTCCTTGTTACTCCGTGAAGAAGGTCATGACCTCCAGACGGAGTTTATAGGCAGTTGTTTTTTCCTGTTCGCAGCTATAGCACACAGGGTTCCCTTTGTTTAATCGCCATGTAATTTTAACAACCCAACCGAATACTGGGAAAAGATCTGCGTCTTGTTTTCCACAGTTCTTTCTTCGGTACAGTAGTTGTTTTATTAACAATGACGTTTTGTTCAAGTATAGGATGTCCTGTACATTGACAATACCGTAAAACCGGCTGCAAAGACAAGTTTCACCAGTAGGTGGCGCCATTGTCAGTGAACGTCCGGTATATGCAGTAGTAGCGTTTGCGTTGAAGAATCCGACGAATTTTGTACAAAATTTGCAAAATCGAGTATCGACGTTGCAAAAGGATTTCAGACTGGGCTGATTGCACCGGTTAGAAATTGTTTGCTCTGAATTATAATAAGAACGAGTATTCGTTCAATTAATTCTTTCTTATGGAGTCTACGTAAACAATTCTTCCCGCTTTGCCCCGTTGGTAAACCTAACCATTGAGAATATTCACTATCATCGACATTATCGACGCTGATATTATGCAGAGTTTCATGTTTCACACACTGTGATAGACAGAACTACTGTCATCACATTAGCGTCAAGTACAAGATTATGCCATTGACTGCTAGGCTTAAATACTAGTAACCTCTCATCGTATCACTAGACTTGACAAGTAGCACTCATAATGATATAACCCTGGTAGTGAGAAACAGGTGCGGTCACAAGCGTGCAACGTCGTCTAGTAACCCCGTGTTTCGTCCTCTAGTTACCCCGTGTTTTCCAGCTGAGCTAATTTAATAGACTCAGTGCTCGCGTCACATACGTGTTTTCCAGATGAGCTAATTCAATAGTTTATTGCAAATTCTTGCCCGAGGGCTACTTGCAGTTACAAACAACATAAGAAAGAAAATACAGTGGTATGTGAGACTATATCTACGTCTAGCATTATACTATATTCTACAACATACATGGTACTAGCTTTACTGGGTTTGACTTCTTCTAGGCAATGGAAGACGAATTTACCCACTTCTTCTATAATATGTGGGTTCTTTGATTTTAGTAGTAAAATTGTTTTTTTTTGTGTGGTAGGGAATGGTGGGGAAGTAAGGGAGCATTTTGGACACAGTGCTAAATAATTGTAATAAATAATAGGCTCAGCGCTCGTGTCACATACGGTACATTTGTATGTCCTTCGATCGCATACTGAATGCATTCTTAGGATAGTCAATTTCATGTTGAAATTAAGCTGTCTCCTTACAAAAAAGGTTGCATTAGGCCCCATTCCCAGTATGGTAAAATTGTCTGAATCGAGCCGAGTCCGAATCAAAGCGAATCAATTCGGCTCGATCCGGACAATTTACCCTGATGGGAATATGGGGCCTGATTCTTGTCGGCGGTTGTTGGTTCTGTCATGACGTCACAACCTGCTTGAAAATTCTACGACACAAATTAGTACGGCAGCGTACGACGAATGTGCCTACGTCGTTTACTGTATTTTTTTCTGTTGGAGGGTGTACCGAAGGAAACATTGTTTTTGGTCTGTCTCTTTTTCTTCTCCAAACAAATAAGGTCAATGACCTGGATCAGACGTTTGTCACCATGGTAACTGGTGTTGGGTTACGTCATGTTGCAATTTTATAGAACGGATTAAGACTCCTATCACCTGTTTTTTTTTTACTTTTTGTTTACATCGACAGCTTTGCCCATTGTGCGCTGGGTTTGAAAAGCAAACTGGCGACATGGCCTTGGTCATGGGGGGTTCGATTCCCCCGTGCTATTCCATTGCACAACGCGGCACAAGTTTTGTCCTGTTTGAAACGTAAAACGTTAGAAAGAACCATTGAAATATTCTCCAACTCACAGAATTACCGAAATTTTTGACCGAATCACTCGCTTTCCTACCCAAATGTTGTGATCACGTGGTTCTGTCAACGTGTGACGTCAGCAATGGGTCAAAGTTCGTCGGAAGTCGATGTCGCCCCTCGTCGGTTGGTTATAATTATTTTGGTCCTCCCTTGTTCATACGTTCTTCTGAAACACTTCTTAATCTTATCTTACGTACAAGGTCCGTGCCAAGTTTCCCTTTGAGAAGGGTATTTTGTCAGAGATTCCAGAGGTATCATCTCTTTGTGAACGAAGATACAAGATACATCAGCAAATTCCTTATCTATAGACCCAGACGCATTCTTCTAAGCTTGTCTGGAGCCTATAATGTAACATGAACCGGCGGTAAACATGATTACTTTCCGAGGCATCGTAAGTGATGGGCCGCGCCGGGTAGCCTCCTTCGCAGCCTTGTCCTTCGAGCAACCTCTCTCCCCGGTGAAAACATCTCTCCCGGCAAACTCCCTCGGCGGCAAAACCGTCCCTCCGCGGCATAACTAGCATCGCTCCCCGAAAAAAATTAACGCTGCCGCCCCACAAGTCTACGAAGGAGGCTAAGTGATGGGAGTGAAGACATGGGTCTGCGATGTGCCCAATTCAGCCAATTACACACACCGGTCATCGGGTTACCTCTTCTAGTCCCTGATAAGTGTGTTGGGTTCTTTAACGTGCAAGAGCCTAACTCCTACATGTATGTACCAATATCCAGTTTATCCAGTACCATTATAGCCTCCTGTGCAAACTTTCTAGCAGCCAACGTTTGCTTCCTAGCACGGCTAGCGCGCGGCGGTTCTTTTTTTCGGCCAACATATATATGTAATCACTAGACGTAGTGACGACCCACTCAGCAGTGTTTTTTCAACTTATGCCGCCACCAACACATAGGGCAATACATTACGTATTTTCACCCTAGCGAAGTGAGGAAAGCAGTGCAAAGTGCCTTTCCTAAGGGCACAGGATCGGTGGCGTGGCAGGGTTCGAACCCGGGACCTCTTGGTTCCGAGTCGAACACTTCTTTTTTTTCTTGGGGGGCTGTGTATGGGAGGAGGGCTGTCCCGGGTGAGAACCGTGTCTAGGCTGGAGGACAGGAGAGTCAGTCCGCCGCTAGGGTCACATCTCTCCGGAGATGGGCTGGCAAATTAATCTCTCTCCAGAAACTAAAATGCTTGAGTGTGCCGCCACCATGTATTGTGATAAATGTTGGAATGGGAAAAATAATAATCTCACTATTGGCTATATTTTATACGATTTTTCAACCAGCGTAGTTAGTATGGTGGAGACCCGGGATCATTAGTACTACCGTGGCCGATAAGTACAACTTTGCACACCCCCGCTTGTCCGGAGCACATGCTGTCTCATTGTGAATAAGTACTTGAGTTGCAAGGGTTTGAAAGCTTTATTCGGAATTAAACAGTCACTAGATCAAGCCAACGCGTACGCCTCACTATCAGTTAAAAACAAACTTTTCGACGCTTGTGTAAAACCTATTTTACTTTACGGCTCAGAAATTTGGGGCTCAGCCAAAAGCCCTAGATTCTGCCCCATTGAATCCGTCCACCTTAAATTCTGTAAACAGTCTCTGAACGTTCCTAGATCAGCCTGTACCCTTGCATCAAGGGCGGAACTAGGGAGGTACCCAATGCTCTGCTCCCACAGATCTGCTCCCACATTTTCCACTGTACAAAAAAGCGAGAAGAAGTTTACTCTATGTTAGCTCAGTGACTAGAACACTTTGTATTTGCCTAGTATAGTACCCTTGTATGTTCCTTATGTATGTCAAGTAGTGCATCTTTTGTCTTCAATTTTCTATATACGTTTGTTATGTGTCTGTCATATCTTGACCTGTACCTAGCCCGTCGTGGCATGAATGTACAATAAAGGTATTTCAATATTTCAATATTTCAATATTGTTAATTGAAAAGGCCGGGTAAATCACGAATTACCGTTCTGGTCCGAGGCGATGATTAGAGAAAGAGAAATACCTGAAAACTGATTACTAGTACTCTATAACCAATCATCATATAAGAGACGATATAAAAAGCATTTGATGTACTTTGATGAGTTTTCAAGCAGGGTGTCACAGCTAGAACCAACCGCTGACAAGGATCTCCAAGACAACGGAATTTTGCAGGACAAAATAATGTCTCTGGTGCGTAGTTGCACGGCGGCCGAACGATAAAAGTGACTAGCAGGCCCAAACACCCACTCACAAGCAAAACTTCGTAGTTTCTTTGATAAACCGTCTGACGTGCGAGCGTGGGAGTTGGACTCGGGCGCCGGTCCTTTTACATCATCAAACACCAATTTTATTGGCTCATATTGTCGGAGGTTTAGGTACAATGTTCTTGAAAGTTCCTATGTGTTGGAAAAATTCATTATGAAACAAGTTTGAACTGTAAAGGAATGAGCAATCCACCTCTTCCGTGACGTCACACAGGTAACACACGTGACTCCGTGAGCCGTGGATCATAGGTTGCAGAAAGTCTGTGGCGCCTCCCGTCTCTGTTGAGGGATGGTCTATGTCCTTTGCGTTCGTTCGTCGACCAAGACATCACGTTAAATCCTTTTATGGCTTTTTACCAAGCCAGGTATATATCATGTACTTATTTCTCACTCCTGTCAAAGGCTGAAATTTCACATGTAACGTTATACGAGCTTTTGCCGCAATTTTGTAGTTTATGCAAAGTACAGGTCGAGGAACAAATTTATCGTAGATTGCGTTTTGTATGATAGCGAAAGAAGTATTATTTTCGATTCCTTGTATGTAAATTTTCCCATTTTTTTAGGTATTTGAATAGTAATGGAATAGTACAGAGAAATTCTTATACCTTGTAGCCTTCGATAAACCAACTCTATATAGTCATACAGCCACCTACATTTGAGAGGAAGTCGAAAGTACCATGAAGAGATATGAAAATTGGTTATGAAAAGTTTAGAAATTAAGTTTCTAATTTTCTGTCAGTCTAAGGAAAGCTGAAATGAACAGCAGAACTTTTATGGTCTGGCAGTTAGTGACATCGCCTCTGCTGTAGAAGGCCGTTAGAGTTCAAATCTCAACCGTTATCGCCTAGCGTGCATGGTATTGGTCATTGGAAGGAGTTGTAGCACCAAGGACAGGACTTGGTCGATGCGAATCGGTGTGCCACGAATCGCACGCTAGTTATCCTTTTCAAACAAAATGGCGGGTCTTGATACGGACGAAAGTGTTAGCAAGTTGGAAGAAATGGTGGGCAAATAACAACTTTTACGGCTACAGGGAAGATGTTGCTATTGTGTCCAATCCAATATGTTTACCTCCTGCTGTATATAAATATTCAAGTCAGGATTTCGCGAGGGAATGTTGTAGATTTGGCGGTGTTATACAGGCTTCTGGGGAGGGGGGCGTTTCAGCAAGTGGAAAAATAATTTTTTTTCACGCGAATGTTACTTTTACTTATGAAGAAAAGTGTGCAGGGAAGGGTGGAAATTGCTAACAAAACATCTACCGGTCTTGTGCCCTTGGGAAAGGCACTTAACACGACTTTCCTCACTTAACTCAAGTGAAAATGAGCATTGCCCTGTCCTGTAACGTGTTATCTATGTGTGGGACACAACACCAGCAACAGCTGCCATTGTTCCACGTGTATTGTACTGTTACAATTTCAATGAGGCCTCACCAACTTAATTTTATGGATGACATCCGCACGCGCATTGATTTTTGTCTGTCCTCAAAAAAAAAAAAAAAGATCACGTCATCCGAGGCTCTTGCCTGGATAGTCCATGGTAGCTTGCTACACATGTATATAGCGACAGTATGGAGTCAGTGGTAACTCTGGAGGATGGCACCCAGGCTACCAAAGCTCCATGACTCAAGACCTCAGTACATACCTACAGTGTCGATTCATAAATCCGCAAAAAGCCAGCATGTGCCGGCTTGTTGTATATGTTGCTATGTTCTGCCGCAAATTCACAATACCAGCTTTGCCTTTGTATTCCTGTGGTTTAGTAGCATTTTTATTTTTGGTGGGATTTTTATTTTATTTGCCCGCGCGCACTAGTTTGGGGGTCTTCAGAGGATGTCATCCATAAAATTAAGACGATGTGGCCTAAGTCAAATCAATTATGTTCATCTTGTGTTATGTTTCCAGTTCCAGAAGACGGAAGATGACATTGAACGTGTCACCCATCAACTGGAGACCGACTTTGCTCTGGAGAAGTCTGAAGGACAAGAGCAGGCAACAGCACTGGATAAAGTATGGCTGAGAATGTGTTTGTTTGTTTGTTTGTTTGTTCAAATAAGGCCGTGATGATTGGATTATGTGGATGATATCTGCACGCATGAATTTTCGCAGTATACATTTTTAATTGGGGTATAACAGAATTTAAAAAAAAGAAAGAAAAGTAGACAGGAGAGACAAGAATTTTTGCCATATCCACCAAAGCTTAAATTAACTGTGAATTTGTGATATGATTCATAAGGCCACACCAATCTAATTTCTTGTTTCTCTGATTTTTTAAGAAAAAATATGAAGCGACAGGGCGAAATAAAAAATAAATAAAAAAAGGCCAAGGCACCCCATGAAGGCCGGAAATGTTACGATATAAGCCATGAGGTCAACATACCAGACTGGCTTATAATTAAAACAACAAATCTTGAACTTTTAATGAAACAAAGTTGCATTATTACTTAGAAAAACTTTAACAACTACATGTAGGAAGAAAATGGTCTTTCTTCAACCGTTGGGGCCAAAATATGTCTTTCATTGATCATTTTTTAGTTTATTCAGAACCTGAAATCTTTTTTTTTTTTTTTTTGTAAATCAGAAAAAAAAAGGACAGGTGAATCTGAGAAACAACAAATTAAATTGGTGCGGCTTTAGTTTGAAGGCAATGTGATATAGTATGTCACCTTTATGTTAGTTAGTTACTAGTGCTAGTACCTTTTCTTGAGATCTTTGCACTCAGAAGAGCCGAAGAGGTGTAATTATTTATATAGTTCAAAGGAGGTGTACATGTCTGTTTGCCCCTTGGCATATTTTGATGTTTTTTTCATGTTGCCAGCCAACAGAAGGCAGTAGGCCCTGAGTCCATTTCCTTTGCTTTGAAGCAGTTTTATTTTGATGTGCTTTTGAAACTTGAGACATTGGTGCTGTTTGAAATCAGCTCTAGTGACTTTCTAGTTCTGACTTATTTTAACACTATTGAGTAAGTCAGAATGTGGGGTTACATTAGGACTAGGAAAAAAAAAATTGTGTTTCCTGTTTCCCAACCGACCCTAGAAAAAACTGCCTAGCCTTTTTTCGGATGGACCCCTGCAAGGGACATGAATTTTTCAAGCTGATTGACCGTTTCTAGCTCCATGATCTGACACCTGAGTGATGAAATGTTGCACAACTGATTTCCAACATTGACGTTGAAAATATAAGTGTCTTTGATTAAGGTTCTACTTTGTTGAGAGTAGGTGGAGAGTATGAGGGTGGGGGAGATTGACAGGCAGAATGGCAGGAAGTCAAAAGATCACAACACAGGAAACATGGGAACTTAAAGTTAAAGGTCAAAGAAGACCCAAAATACTTCCCAGAAGTCTAAAATCTTCAAATTCTATTGAATTCCCTCTGCCTAAAAGTGTTAGAAATACCCACTTGCAGTCTGCATTTTGCAGAGAAATTTTCAATATTGCAGGAAGAAAAATTAGGCAACCTTCAATTTTGCAGACTGAAAAAAATCTGATTTTATCATTGAATAAGTGATTTTGCATGTATTTTTCAAATAGCATGTAAAATGTTTGCCAACATGCAATTTTGTATATGCCATTGCTTTAGGTCCGGACTTTAAAGTGTGTATTTGTAGAAAGTATTTCCAAAGATATTGCAGAACAATATGTTGACATTCTGCAATAATATTACGGAACACTGAAAAAAAGTATTTCTACCATTGCCTAAGGCCACACCAATTTAATTTCTTGGTTAACGGATTCGCTTCATTTTTTCTGATTTGCAAAGAAAAAAAAATTCAGAATCAACTGCAAAATGCTCATATTTTGCCCTGAACAGTTGAAAACAGTCCTTTTCTTCCTAGTTGTTACAGTTATTCCATCTTTCAATGCAGTGGTATGATCATTAAAAGTTCAAAATTCATTGTTGAAATTTTGAACCAGCCTGGTGTGTTGACTTCATGGCTCCTATCGTACCATTTTGGGCCATAATAGGATGTCTAGGCCTGTTTTTATTTTTATTTTTTCGCCCGCCCGCCCGCTCCATTTTTTTTTCTAGAAAAATCCATTAACCAAGAAATTAAATTGGTGTGAACTAATCTTCAGGATGTTCCTCAAGAAGTCTTGGTGCAGAGGTTAGGTGAGGTGAAGAAGGAGTACTCGTCTCTGGTGAGGGAAACTGAGGAGGTCAGGAAGATGCAGGAAGAGATGTCACTGTTCTTCCAGTCCAAACTCATGGAGGCCTGTCAGATGCTTCAGCAGCTGCAGACAGCTGCAACAGGCCCGGAAAAGGTCAGTAAACTTATGAAGACCTGTCAGATGCTTCAGCAGCTGCAGACAGCTGCAACGGGTCCTGAAACGGTCAGTAAAACTCATGGAGGCCTGTCAGATGCTCCAGCAGCTGCAGACAGCTGCATCGGGCCCTGAAAAGGTCAGTAAAACTCAAGGAGGCCTGTCAGATGCTGCAGCAGCAGCAGACAGCTGCAACAGGCCCTGAACATGTCAGTAAAACTTATGGAGGCTTGTCAGATGCTTCAGCAATCAGCAGCTGCAACAGGCCCTGAACAGGTCAGTAAAACTTATGGAGGCTTGTCAGATGCTCCAGCAGCTGCAGACAGCTGCAGCAGGCCCTGAACAGGTCGGTAAAGCCCCTGTCACACATTCACTTCTGAGTCCCTGAAAAGGTTGGTAAAGCACCTGCAGGCCTCGAAATTAACTTTTCTTCCTATTGTCCCAACACTGTCCCAAAAATAAATTTTGATTGTCCCGAAGTGAAGATGAACTGTCCCAACTGTTTTTTTGGGGGGGGAAGCATGTATGACTTCAAGTTGAAGTGAACTTTATTTTGCTTATGTTCACTCCAAGTGCACTATAATTGCAGTGTAGACAAGAAATTCGGGGTCAATTTAAAAAAAATTGGGTGCACCATTGCACCTGTTTTGAGCCCTGGTACTGGTAGATTATTCACTGTATCTAGGGCACAATATTTGAAAACAAATCCCATCTTTCTCCTTTCATCGCCATTTACAAAATGTACCTCCCCAACTGAAATCAGGTATATGCCTGGGTGAGCAAAATTGTTGTGTAAAGTACCTTTCAACGACTAGCCAGGAAATCCGAAGGATCAAACCTGTGACATCTCAATCTTGTGTTCCATATGTATAGCTTACCCACTTAACAACAACACTCAAGGCCCATCCAAACCAAGGACAAGCAAAACCTACATGTATCTAACCTAGTTACATACATAACTGCCTATCTCTGGAGCTTGACATTCTACAGACAGGGCTCGAAATACTGGGTGCATGTGCACCCTAGTGCACCCAAAGTTGGAGCTTTGCACCCAATTTTTTTCTGTGGGTGCACTGGTGCACCCAAATATTTTTGTAGGTATTTTGCACATATCAAATTATAATAGTATGTAGGATATTCTTAGCACCTAAGTCTAAGAAAAATAATGAAATCTTTGTTGTAGTACTTGTTGAAAATTTCGAAGTTAGCTCCCATTTCAGATTCAAGCTCAGAATAGGAGCAGTGAGATCTGTAATGAGATTTTGTTTTGTATGGTGCACCCAAAAAATGTTTTTGTGCACCTAATTTATTAGTTTGGGTGCACCAGTGCACCTATTCCCAAAAATGAATTTCGAGCCCTGCCAGGATTTATCATTTTTCTAACACTTCAATGACAAGTAAATGTTGTATCATACAGTTATAGTAAGTGTGCAATCCTACATTTATGCATGTAGGTGTACCTGTAGTCAAAACTTAGGTGCAAAGCTCCAATTTTACGTGCACAAACGTGCATATGCACCCATATTTCAAGCCATGACTGAATTATACCAAAAAACCTTAAATATTCATATTTGACAGGAACAGCTGTTTGAAGACTGTTAATAAAGAGGCTTCTACAGTACAACAGTATTTGATGACAACACTGGTTTTTCTAGAAAAATTTAGCATGAGAGAGCAGATCGCAAGCATGGCGAGGGAGCGAAGTGACCGAGGGGGATTTTTGAAATGAGAGTAACACAGTTTGTACTGCTAGAATGTATTATTGTATTGTTTCTAATAATAATAATAATAATAATAATAATAAATGGTTTTTATTGTCCAAACAGTACCCGTGCAGTCGCAGCCTTTATACGGCTGAATTGATGCAGGGTATCACATAATAATCAATACAAATCACAACAAGTAATACATGATACACATATTTGTTCCACAAAAAGTCGTAAGGGTCTATACGGCAGCCATTCGGCGCCAGGTAACCTCAATACGACTTTCCCCAACCGAAGTCAGGTACCCATTCACACCTGGGTGGAGTGAGCAAATTCGTGTAAAGTGTCTTTCCCAAGGGCACAACGTCGGGGCGCATGTTCAGACATGCCCCGAGTACGACTCGGAATCGAACCCGGGTCTCCCGGTTCACAGTCGAATGCTCTACCACTTCACCAGCCAACGCCACAGCTTACACAGCTTTACTAGAAAAAGATCATTTTGACAAAATTTGAGAAAGACTGAATGGTGTGTAAGTAGCTACTTAGGGTTCAATGTGAGAATTGATATGAGGGAGCTGGCTGATTACATGAGGGAGCAGTGCCCTTATTTCCCTGTTTAGAAAACCCCCTGACAACAGGTTCTAAATAAAACTGCGTGATAGAAAAACATGTTTTCAAACTCGTTGATCCTTGGGCGATACCTTGCTCCGATAACATCTAAACTCGAAAGCTAGCATTTTATTGAAGCTGAAATAGAATTGTGCGTGGTTAAGAAAGTGCTTGAGGCTGTTAAACACATTTATGTAAGAACAGCTACTAGGACATGGCTGTTTTTGTAGAATACCTTGCTTAGCCATGGGAAGGTATGAGCTCGAAAGCTAGCATTTTATTGAAGCTCAAATAGAATTGTGCGTGGATAAGAATTAGTTCTTGAGACTGTTACACATATTTATGGAAGAACAACTACTAGAACATGGCTGTTTTTGTAGGAAATGTTGACAAGCACTATATTTAGTATATGACCACTTTTTGGGGTCGTGTGGCGCAACGGCAGAGTGCTCAACTCGGAACCAAGAGGTCCCGGGTTCGAGTCATGACATGTCACCGATCTTGTGTTCTTGGGGAAGGCACTTTACATGACTTTCCCCACTTAAGTGAAAATAAGTACATGTCTGTCCTGTATTTGTTTCTATGTGTGGGATACAACACCAGCAACAGCTGCCTGTGTCCCACTTGCACTGTTGCAATTTCAATAAATCAAATCAAATTAAATCACATCAAGCACCGTATCATGTTAACTGGAAGAAATAATTTGATCAACGCTTGGAATAAACTTTCTTTTCACTAAATATATAATATAGTACAGATTTCATAGGTACATTATTGTTGCTATAACCAGGTCTAGGATTTAACAAAAAATGTTCACTACTTTTGTATTTTTGTATAACTTCATTAGGTCACTGTTAATGCTTCTTGATACCTGATTTCTGAATTTTATATTACACAAATAGGATGACAGAACAGAGGAACAGGAAAATGTACAGGAAGGAGAGATTGAGAGAAGAAAAGAAGAAGGAGAAGAAGAGGAGGAGGGTGCGGTAGGAGGTGTACCTTTACAGGTTGGTCCATATATATATAAGGGTGTGATCACATACGTTGTGCGATTGTCTCACAATCGTAAGAACAAAGTACATTCTTGCAATTGGAATAGCCATGCATGTTACCTGTGTTGTAACAAAACTCAGCTGTCTTGCTTTAAGATTTTATTTAGATCCACAATTAGCCTCATAAGAGGCTATTCTTCCTGTGGTCTACACATATACTGACAGTACATTCATATATACATGCATGTATTACAATTGAAGAGGAATGTACAAAAACATTACAAATATGTTGCAAACTTAACAAAATTCCTTAAATACACTATTTACAGTTCAATACTTTTGCTAGTTGTCGCCCGTGTTCCACAATAATGTGACATTCTGTACAGAAAACACCTTTTCTGAGAGTTGGATTTTGTATTGGTAGTCTGATTGTGTTTGTTCTGGTTGAGTGTGTTTGGTAGTTGTGAATCTCAGATTGGAATGTGATTTTGTCGTACAAAGCCTACAGAAAGTGTTGTCTTGTATCCTTTTCGTTGGCTGGTTATATTGTATGTCACAGTTTTCTTGCAAAGTCTACGACATCAAAATCATATGATGAACGATGTTGAAATGTGACCACGCCATACCAGCTTAGAAAAGAACAAGAAATAGTCATGCCTTCAAGTACCAGAGTTATCAACCAAGGATTGAGGTGTTAAAAAATCAATTATTTCCTAGAACTATTGCAGAGTGGAACTTGCTGTCACGAAGTACAGTAGGGGCATTATCATAGCTTTAAACAGTTTTTAGAGTTAGATGTTCAGGGGTTACAAGTAACAAGTCGTTCAGTGTAATGTAGCCAGCTGTCCCTGTGCCGCATGCCTGTGGAGCTGGTGTGTTATACCGGCTGTACAGATACAGAGACAAATAAAGATTTTGCTGTTTTCCATGATCTGCAAGGCCAGAACGTCTATTTGCCAAGTTTAATTCATTGTGAATCAGATGTATGACTGAACTATATTTTCCAGTTTTAGGATGTGTGATGGCTATGTTGTAGAAGTGGGAACTAACATTACTCAACTATATTAACCACAATTCTATCCCAAAAGACTTTTCATCTATCTTTTACTTGTTTTGAGCTCGACAAGTCAACAACTGCAGTAGGACAGTTGGAAATTCTATGTGCTAACTTTGTGTTGGGACAGACTTTTACTTAGCTATGTACTACGTTGACTAACAACACGAATGATTTCTCAATGCTTGTTCTGTACATGTATTCTTTCTTAAACTTTCTGCAGGTAGCCAAAACAGATACAGGCTGTGATGACCAGCCTCCTCCCTGAGTGTATGGTCATCACATGAACAGTTTTAATGCTGAACCAGGTAGGTTTACTTCAAGTCTTGTAAAATGTGATCATCTGACCAAATTTAAAATGTGCCCGTCTAAAGGACAGAAAGATTAAAAAACTGCATGGGTTCTAGAAAAAACAATGCGAAACATCACATTACATTGCCGTTCAGTGTAACATAGCTAGCTGCCACCGCGCCGCGTGCCCGCAAAGCTTGCATATATGTTACACCAAAACAAAAGGCGGTTATACCGGCTATACAGATACAGATTCTGTAACTAGAACAATTTTAGTTGGAATTGAATCTTTTTTTTTGTCATCAAATGTATTACATTTTCTCTTACAGATGCAGAGATATGATGCTGTATTCACAAAGCTCCATCACAACTTAGCCGTTGTAGCTTCAGTACACTCTCTTGGTCTCTTTAACAAAATGACTGGATCCACACATATTCTATCTTACTGGTGATGATTGTTATTTAATGAGCTAAATCAACTGTTGCATGCTTGGCGGAGCCTCTTCTGATTCGATGACATTTTTGGCCACACACTAGTATGTAGTCCAGTGGTTAGCAATCCTGCCTCTGGACCAAGAGGTTGGGAGTTCGAGTCCCGGCTGTTGTCACTACTGGAAAGGTTGGCAGTCCTCGGGACGGGATGTTAAGCTGTGGTCCACTGTTCATTGTGCTCGTCGAAAAGCGCTAGGAGAATTTCCCTGGTACAATGTACCTGTAAATACTGTACATAGCGTCTGTCTTCTCTTCTCCAGTGGTAGATTAACTCTTCAGTGGGCTGGATATCACTTCACTTTACTTTATGCTTGCAAATGATGCGGTTGTAACAGAGCTTTTGGCCATGTGTAGGCCCAAATCGTGTCAGTCGCTGTCTCATTGGACACTCAGTTTAGGCAAGTTCCTTATCGGGACAGAGAAAAAGCGGTCATTATGGCCAGATGGCCAGCCTATAGAGGTGGTCACTTGGGCAAGTTTGACTGTATTTTGTTGTCCATACACTAAAACGGACAAGTTTTGTAAAGGTTCCTTTTTTTTTCATTGACCACATTTTAGGCCACATTTAAGTCTTTCTAAGATATGTGTTTATATGATATTTCTTGTTAAATAAAGCTTATGATGTCAAAATGTAGGAGTCTTGTTTTTTTAGCCCGCCTTGTTTTTTTCAGCCCTATCACATTAGTTTAGAGTCTGCAGAGGATGTCATCCATAAAATTTACTTGTATGTTGTTTGTTTAGTGTTAATTGAGAACTCAAACCTCACAGCTGAATTATGAGGGTTGCACATAAAACTCGCACGGTACGCTCATTAAAAACATATTAAATCTACAAATGCCTTAAATTGTAATAACTACTAGTACCTTCTACACTTCCAAATCATGATAATGGAATTGCGCAATATTTTGTCCTTTTTTTAAATTTGTCATCTACAATTGTATATACAATCTTTAAGATAAACTTAGATCTATAAATTGTAATTTTTGCAGCTGCGACACTTAAGCGAGTTAAAATTATTCTAAAAGAAGGGTCTTGTAAAACGCAGCTTGCTGTGGCCTTAGATGTCGAAAACAGTTGGAAGGATGAGAGGTAGGGGAATAAACATGTGTCAAATGTGACACTCCACAGCTCTCAGGGCATGAATATTCAAAATAATTAGAAAGGTGAAGCACCTATAAGTAGGTCATCTAGTAATGCAGATGAAATAAGCCATTCGTTTTGTAACGGGGCTCCTTTTGTATTTGTTACCTCCATGAAAAATGGAGGTATTGTTTTTGGCGTGTCTGTCTGTATGTCTGTATGTCTGTCTGTGTGTGTGTCTGTCTGTCTGTCTGTCTGTCTGTGTTTCCACAACTTTGTAGTCAGCATAACTTCAGAACGCCTTTATGGATTGTGATGATATTTTGTATGATGGTAAGTCTTGGAAAGACAAAGGTCAAGGTCAAGTATGGGCCTCCTGGTGGATGACCTTGGTACTGCAGCAGAACTTCCGGTTTTTGTATCTTTTGTCCTGAACAAGCTATGGTCTTGACTTTTTGGTGACAGATAGCTTATCCTGTCAGGAATAAGTGGCGTAAGTTTGGTCCCCCTAGCAGCTTGTTCTGGAACTGCAGGTTAGTTTCTGGTAAAAACTTTCAAAGCCAATAGGTCCAGATTGGAATAACGTATTTTCATCATTTTTGGTGTGTAGGTACCTGAGAGACAGTTGTACATGATTAAATGCAAATTATGCAAATGAAGACTTAATTTGCATGATTAATGAGGAAATTCTATAATTACAGTGTTTCATATAATGGTACTGCTATACCTGTAATCTATTTAATCTGTGGCAGGCGGAACATCAACAGATACCAATTATGCAAATGATGACCTAATTTGCATAATGCAAATGTGAAAATTCTGTGAATCCTTATTGGTGAATGCTGGGAATTTTATACCTCGTAACATTTTGTAAGGTTTGCATTGCTATGCATATATTATGTTAATGTAGAGGTTATTTGCATAAATAATGATGACAAAGCAAGCCCATATTTCATGGAGGTATGAGATCTCGGAACTCTTGTTTAATTTGTTTCGCATAACCAGTAAACCGCCTTTAGGCGAAACACACCAGTTTTGTACATGTAAAGTACAAGCTGCGTAAGACCGGACTGTAAGGTTTGGAAGGACTGGAAGGTCCTCTACTCTTTTCAGTTTATTACGATACCCTTTAGCCCTAACCCCATTAGGGCTAATCTTCCAGGGCTCATTACACATTACACACACAGTACAAATATACACATATGAGTATTATGACTACAAATTTGCATACACGTTGAGGTCACATGTCAGACAAGGTACTAATTATTGCTATAATCATTGAATGAGCAAATTTTCGGCTAAGTATAAAACTAATATTACCATTACTAAAAAAATTCAATATAACAACTATCATCATAATTAAAAACCATTAAGTTGCATACATATACAATTGCTCGATCAACCTCTTCAACCGCCTCTCATCGGATACAGCCTTAACCTCATTTGGTAGTGCATTCCACAGCTTTACGCATCTGTAGGTTGGTTGGTTGGTTTATTTAGATCCACAATTAGCTTAACAATTCATATTGCTAGCAGCAGCTATTCTTCCTGTGGTCAATTAACATATACACCTGACACACATAAAATAACTTATACAGACATAAACATGTACAGAAACTCCACAAAAACACCAAGTGACAGAACAAAGCTAGCTTACATGACCACCATATACCTAAAATACCTATTTTACATTTCTCCAAAAGTTGTTGCACATTGTTCCATGCCTCTACAATTTCATAGTGTTCCAGGTGTGTGACATCCGATGCAAAAAGCGTTTTCTCTGAGCATTTGTTCTAGGTTTGGGGAGACGGATAGTTTGTGACTTTGTTGATCTGGTTTGGTATCCATGTGACTGAAACGTGATCTGTTTATACAGGGAAACGGGCTGTCTGTTCTCCATCATTTTGCGAAAAGTCAAAAGGTCTTTCTGTTGAATCCTCTCTTTCACGGGCAACCACCCCAACATCTGCAGCAAAGCGTCCTTGCTTGTGGATCTGTTGCATCCGAGGTAAACATCTTCTTTCCACTGTTGTTCTTTGGTTTCGATAAGTGTGGTGGGTTCGCGGGGTGTGGCTTTCCCCGAACACAGACCTCCATTTAACGTCTTATCCGAGGGACGTCCCTAACCGAAGCTAGGTACACATTTACACCCGAGTGAAGTGAGGAAAGTCGTGTAAAGTGCCTTTCCGAAGGACACAAGATCGGTGACATGGTCAGGATTTGAACCCGGGACCTCTTGGCCCTGAGCCGAACGCGCTACCGCTACGCCACACGACCCATTTTTCGGGGTAGCCAGTTAGGAGCCTTGTTACAAAACGGATGGCACCCAGGCTACTATCTCATAGCAAAGGTGTGACAAAACACATGGAAACTTTGCCTTGGTAAAACTTAGTTGTTCATGCCATTTACATAATACACTGTACATTATTACCCTCATCGAGAAGGCTATGTTTTTCTGCCCATGTGTGACTTATGTCTGTATCTTTGAACAGCATAGATCGAGAAGTTGTGGATGGATCTTTATGATATTTGCTATGTTGGTAGATGTTCTCAAAATTTAAAAATGATAAGATTATTGGCAAGTCGAAAACAATACCTCTGTTCACGGAGGTTATAAGGATACTTCACGGCCTATTTAAGATTCATATACTCGCAGTTAACCAGTTCATATGGTCTCTACCAGACCCCAATGTGTTGCTGAAAAATGTTCAACAAGTGGCATTTATTCAGATTATTTAGGCCACACCGACTTAATTTTTATGGATGACATCCATGCGCGCATTGTCTGGCCTGGCTCTAGGCCTGGGTAGTCCATGATAGTTAGCGACAACCCTGGAGGATGGCACCGGTGACACCAAAGCTCCATGACTCAAGAACTCAGTACATATAGGTACCGTGTCGATTCATAAATTCCGACAAAAGCCAGCATGTGCCGGCTTGTCGTATACGTCTCTATGTACTGCCGCAAGTTCACAATACTAGCTTTGTATTCCTGTGGTTTAGTAGCATTTTTATTTTTGGCTGAATTCTTTTTTTTTATTCGCCCGCGTCTTCACATCGTCATCCCTAAAATTAAGACGGTGTGGCCTTAGCCAAATTTTACTATTTTCCACCAACCTGCTAGAGTCTGGTCGAGACTTAAAGATAAAGACCAAAGGATGGTATACTATCGAAGGTTAAATAAAGGTTTTAGAAAACACATCACTAGTTATAGCACAAAATTAGACCAACAAGTGTGTTGGTGAATTGGCAGGAAATTAAGATGACAGGGTACATTTCCGGAGCTGTTAATGCGTCTCTGCCAAGTCCTGAGTGCGTTATTAGGCCACAGCAAGTAATTTTTATGGATGACATCAGCGTGCGCATTCATTTTGGCCTGATTTGGAAAAAAATTTGTTGATGAAAATGGGCAAAGATGTCTGTTGCCATGCCGGAACGTGGGTATGAAGAGAGGAGACAAGAGAAGGCTCTTTTTTTATCATATTTTGTCATTTACTCAAGTTGATGCAGTGATGTATTTTATTCCTTTTATAGGTGATGTAGCACTAAATCAAAACCATTTGTACAATGTTTGAAAAGTTTTATTTTTCAGTGGCAATGGATGTTGCAATAGTTAGCAACGTTAGCCAATATAGGTATCATTCCTTGTTTAACAATGTTGATGATGTCAAAATTTGAAAAAACTAGGAATCTTGGATTCATCTGGCCCGCCTTGTTTTCTTTTCGCCCTATCGCATTAGATTTGGAGTCTGAGGAGGATGTCATGCATAAAATTTACTTGCTTAGTGGTGTATTTGGCATGCTAAGAAGAAGACTCCTGGTTGGTTGTCATTGCGCCGCATGTAACGCCTAAGGAAATAG